AGTTATAATTATTATTATATGCCAAGCACCCTTGTAATCCCCACTCAGGCCAAGAAAAACTTTTCCAGCTTCCCCTAAAGTGCCTTGAATACTTCAAAAGTAACTACTCCCCTGACTTTTACATACTCTCATACTTAATGTTTCCTTATACAGTTAGCCCTTAAAACAACACTACTTTGATCTGTGGGGATCCGCTCATATGTGGATGTTTTTCAATAAATACGTACAGAACTGTAAATGTATTTTCTCTGCCTTATGATTTGCTTAACATTGTTTTTAAGTTTATTTATTTACGGAGGGGGGGCAGAGAGAGAATCCCAAGCAGGCCCAGCACACACAGCATGACATGGGGCTCAAACTCATGGATCATGAGGTCATGACCCAAGCTGAAACCCAGAGTTGGACAATTCATCAACTGAGCCACCCAGATGCCCTGGCTTCCTTAACATCTTCTTTTCTGTAGCTTTTTTCCATTGTAAGAATACTGTACATAATACATAAAACATACAAAATATGTGTTAATCGACTGTTTCTGTTTTTGGTAAAGCTTCAGGTCAACAGTGTTAGTAGTGAGTCAACCGCTAGTAGTACCTACCAAGCAGTGTGTTAGTCTTTGCCATTTTTAAATGGTTGTAATGCCTTTTAAGTCTCCCTTAATCTTCAAGTTCTGCCTCTCTCCCCTTTACTCACTTTTATCTGTTAATGAACCTGAGCTGTTTAACCTCTAGAATTTTTCCCAGTCTGAAGTTTGCTGATTACACACCCATGGCACAGTTCAGTATGTTGCTCTGCTTTCTGTCCTGTCCTTTCGGCTATAATACTTGTGTTGAAAATGCAAGTTTGTTTCAACTTGATTGAAAGATTAGGGAACAACTGAGCATAAGGAATCTCAACCATGTTTATGTGCAATGTCTAGGAGAAACACCAGGGAAATGTGCCAAATGGCACCCAGCTGAACCAAGCTGCCCAGGTACACACACACCTCAGACATCTCACAGGTCAGTCACCACGTATGAGTATGAACAGCATCCACCCACATCTGTTGTTACAGCTTGCTTCCAATTTCAGAGAACCCTCCTCCTACTTCATAGTCATTCACAAGCGGAGGCTCTTCCCACGCTGCTTCCAGGAACATCAGGGAGCTTTCAAGGTACAGTGCCAAGTTTATGATAGTATTTATGTGTTTCTTGATCATAAAATATATGTAAAACTGTGTTATCAGGTCACTCTATATTTTAATGTGTCACTGAGGAAGGGGTTTTTTTTGTACTTCATTTTTGCCATAAGTCCTATAGTTTTTATTGCATGATTTTGCATAGTGCAGAGATCTTTAAGACCATATTACATCACAACTGGTTTTATTTCCTGCAAACTGGCGGCTAGGTCCAGAGCCTTGATCAGACTCATCCCTTTGGTGATGTGTTCTGTCCCCAGAAGGCTCATAATATCTGGTTGTCTCTGTTTTTGTGAACTTAGCAGATACCAATGCAGCAAAGGCCTAGATCTGTTCTTTCACTGGGGGCAGCAAAATGGTGCTGTTCTATTATTTCCTTCTCATTTATTGATTGGAATGCTTTTATAACTAGCAATTTTCTCTTATCTACAATTTGCTATAGTTCGTATAGGAAAGGCAAGATAAATGCTTGATTCTTTGCTTATCTTTATCAGTTTTTAAGATAACGAATTTGTTCCCCATCATTCCCCCAAAGATAAGCTATTAGGCTTTATTTTGTCATTATGAACTCATGGATTTAAAATATTTGTTGGGTTTCAATTATTTGCAATTATGGTTCTTTTTGAAGTTCAAATCTTTGGCCAGTGAGAGCCTCTTCAAATTGTCTTGTCATGCCAAGGCCTTTGACATGACCCTAGTAAATCTTTAATGACTATCTTGCTATCTGATGATAGCATCACTGAACATGAGATTCAAGGCTCATTTTGTAATTTCCTGTCCTGGAACTGGAATCTGCCATCTCTCCCAGGAGCCCTGGTTTCTTTTAAGTGAGCAATGACATTTCAAAATGACAATCTAAATGCTAGGAGTGTAGGATGCAACTAGGTTGGTCAGTGTAGACCAATTCAGTGGACAAACCTATATATGTTGATACATAGTGCATGATTTTAAACTGATATTTCCAATAGGATATTTTACTTATTAGCCTCTATCATATTTCATTTGCATCTCAAATGAAGATGCATTCTGATTCTCAAGGAAACAAAATGATGAAATTAGAGTATCCTATAATTACTTACTTTTTCTCTATTATACACAACAACAGTCTCAAAATAACAATATTAATACCATCACCAGTATAAGTACTGGAAATAATTAAAACAGTTTTTCATATATTCTCCCTACTTACTTCCAGTTTTAAAAAGGCACACAAAAGATACAGTCATTACATATCATACTCTCATCCTTTATTCCTCATTAAATTTTAGTTTCACATGTCAATGTGATTACTGCTCATCACCAATCCTTATGTCAAGATCTCTTTTACAATTTGTTTGTTTGAAACTCGTTCTACAGTCCATTCCTCGGGATCAGAAAGGGATTGTGACAGCATTATTCTCTAGAGTTTTACATATTGAAAAGTCTGTGTGCCCTTTATAATTCAGATTCAGTCTGGCTAGATATAAAATCCCTAGCTCACATTTCCTTTCCTTGAGCATCATAAATGTATTACTCCATTTTCTTGTGACATAATAATACGATGTCGAAGAATATGATAACCTACTTTGCTTTCCCTTATAAATCACTTGCTTTTTTGGGCCTACCTGCCCAAAGAATTTTTATTTTCTGAACTGTCCAATGATGTTACTAAAATATGTCTTAGTGTTGGTTGTCCTGGTTTAATATTATCAGGTGGCACTGTTCTGTTTCAAAAAGTAGCGTCAAGTTTATATACATATATATTTTTTTAAGTATTTATTTTTTCAGAGAGAGAGAGAGCGTGCAAGCAGGGAGAGGGGCACAGAGAGAAAGGGAGACACAGAATCCGAAGAAGGCTCCCGGCTCAAAGCTGTTAGCAAAGCTGTTAGTCCGACACAGGGCTTGAATTCATGAACTATGAGATCGTGACCCTAGCTGAAGTTAGCCTCTTAACCAACTGAGTCACCCAGCCGCCCCTAGATTTGGGGTATAAAAATATAATCAAATGCATGTATCTTAGGTGTTCAGGTTGATCCATTGTGACAGTTAGTTGTGTATGGCGGTGGAACCACCCCCAAAAACAAAAATAGAACATCAAATCCTTTTAAAATTCATGACAGTTTTTTCAGTATTAGTTCTTAATATTTATTCTATTCCTGTGTATTCATTTAATTCTTTAGGGATACTTATTGTCTGTATATTGGATCTTCACTTTCTAGCTTTACTTTTTGTCACTTTTTTGTGTATCTTTTTTATCTTCATTTCTTCTTGTTAAAAAAAAATTCCCTCCTTTTACCTCTTTTTTTTTTTAATTTCTTTTTTAATGTTTTTTTTAATTTATTTCTAGGAGAGAGAGAGACAGCATGAGCAGGGGAGGGTCAGAGAGAGAGGGAGTCACAGACTGAAACAGGCTCCAGGTTCTGAGCTGGCAGTCAGCACAGAGCCCGACGCGGGGCTCGAACCCACGAACCGCGAGATCATGACCTAAGCGAAAGTCGGACGCTTAACCGACTAAGCCACCCAGGCGCCCCTACCTTTTACTTCTTTTAAGACACATATCTGTCATGTTTATTTGGCCTATGGTCCTTCTTGACACATATCTGTCATGTTTATTTGGCCTATAGTTTGTTTATTTCTGAAATTTTCTTTTACTGTTAATTCCTTCCTTGTTCTGTAATCTCATGTCTAAGTTTTTCTAAATCTTATTTATGAGTTTTCCTGACTTGTATCCTAGTCTCAAGGTCTTCTGGCTCATCCGGAAATTTTTAGTTTTGATCTGTTTTGTAAGCATGTCTATCCAGTGTATTTTCATTATCTGTAGTGATATTCCTTTACTCATTCTTTTACTTCTTCTAATAACCCTGAACTTTTTGTTGACTGTTTTCATATAAAATTAAGACTCCTAAATGTTTAGAAGGAGGTGTGGTTTTAGAAAGAAGGTAGCTTTTCTTCCTTCACAAAGCTCCCTCTTGTGTTGTTTTCATGTTGTGCTCAGAAATACGGCAGCTTGCTCATTGAGATTTCCTGGCTCTGTCCCCATTCCTTCTTTGTCACCATTGTCCCTATATCCTGCATAACTGATTCCATTCACGGCACCTCCTCCTCACTGTGGACCTGTCCTGGAAGAGTGCCCTTTCCAGTGCCCTGGAAGATCGGTTTCAAGAGTTCAGAGAGGTTAGGCTGCTCCAACCTTGCAAACCTTACTAGGGACCCCCTGCACTCACCCACTGTTGGCTGTTTTGGGGTTCTCCTGTTCTCAAGTCGGTCAGATGTACTGCCTTCTCCCACACAGATCCTGACGCCATGCAGAGTTCGCAGCTGTTGGTAGTTTGCCCCCATCTGTTTGTATTTGAGAATTCAGGTGGCTACCTTGTCACCTAGTTTTGCTGTAAGTGTTATCCATGGGTTTTCAGTTTTCCTATCTACATATATGGTCTGTTTTTATGTTGGAATTTCAAAAAATTTCAAAACCTATGCCATCACCATTACCATCTTCCCAGGATTCCCAATAGCAGTCTTAATGGAATGATTATCAAAGTACCAAACTCTGGGTATGAGCATGGCAAATTACAAGCCTTATAAATATAAATTCCCTTTGGCCCTACAATACTGATTCTAGGAATTTGTTCTAATGGAATAATCTAATTAGGGAAGTGAAAAAAAATGTGTATACAAAGCTGTTCTGGATTGGACTGGGGTACCTACCCCATTTTTAACTCCCATTTTTAGTATGTGTACTTCTAGTGTGCTATCCCAAACACCATTTTATTTGGAGTTGTGAATTGTCCAGTCTTATTAGATTTGAATTATTAGTGATACATGACAGACAAAATGTAAAAATACAGACCTTCAAATGTTGGTCCATAAATCGATTCACCATCATCTCCTTTTCCAGCTACTATATCTGAGAAATAACAATAAATAAACATTAGAATTTTGAGACTAAAAAAGAGCATAGTAATGATGGGAGGGGAATGCTTTAAATTATGATTCCACTTATACCAGTGACTAGAGAAAGTTATAATATACATAATTGTTCAATACCTACACCATGGAAATATTACTATAATGATTTCACTCGTATCTTGTAAGCATTTTGACATTCATGATCTTATTGTTTCCCCTGATAATAACTCTCTGAGGTAGGTTAAATTACAATGCAAAACCTTTGAAATGATGAAGTATTCAATTACAGTTGCGGCCACAATTTAAAGGAAGCATGTTCATATAAATTCTGCTTGCTTCACAGGTTATTCCATAGTCCATCTTGCTTTTAAGGAAAATGGAAAGATGAAACTGAGAGAGTGGAATAGGAACAGTAAGACCTAGGAATAAAAATAGTTGCTGTGAAAATAATCAGTGTTCAAATTTCTCATTCCTTAGAACCCTAGAGTGATCACTCGTTTATTTAGCCAGTATTTTGGAAATGAAGTTCCTTTCTAATATAACGAAGTGAGTATTTTTTAAAGTATTTGTTATGTCTCTATTTTGCAGTATATGTCAAGTACATATTTGCCTTAGTCAATGCTTCTGCTATAAACATCCTCCATGTACAAGTTACTTTTTCCTCTGTCCACAGCTAAAAGGGAAACAAAAGCTGATTAATGCAAATAGCAGACTCTGGTGGAAATAAAGTTTTCTGAGTTCTGTATATCCAGCCTCCCCATCAGAAGCTCTTTACTTCTTCCCCTCTCACTCACGCTCCTTGAGTACATTATACTATACATATCTATTTAAAGACTGTGCCATTTTAACTCAGTGTGAGTGATTTACCTATATAAAAGTGTGCTTTAAAAAAAAATCAGATGCAACAACAAGCATATGGAGATACTTTATTCACTACAGGCTTGTAGCGTTTAAATTACATTCACAAAATTGGCTCAGAAGTTAGTTGTTAAGCCTGCAGTCTTCAACCTTCCTCTGCCTGATGCTCCCTTCATGATTCACTCCAGACCTCTCAGTACCTGACAGGAGCGCGCTGCAGTGGCTAAGGGCTAAACCCAGAAATGGGGAAGTTGAAGGTTCCCCCAGTACCAATTCCTTCAGATCTTAGAGTTTGCTTTGCTCAGACAAATCTGCGTGTGGCTCCCCACCCTAACTAGCTCACTTGAACACAAGTGACACTCCTTTGCCCTGTCTCTCCAGCACCCACCATTCCTCCTGCCCTTTTCCTCACGTCTCCCAGATAAATATTTTATATTGACACCATCTCAGCCAGTACTTGAATTCAGCCTTATATCTCTTATATTATTTCTGTACTTCTGACAAAAAATTCAGCAATGCAGAATAGTGGTTCAAAGTAAACTTTAAAGTCAGATGATGGGGCACCTGGATGGCTTAGTCAGTTTAAGCATCTGACTCTTGATTTCAGCTCAGGTCAGGATCCTGGTCGTGATATCAAGCCCACGTTGGGCTTCGTGCAGACAGCATGGAGCCTGCTTGGGATTCTCTCTCTCCCTCTCTCTCTGCCCCTACCACTTGTGCTCTCTCTCTCTCTAAAAAAAACAAATAAAAAATCTTCAAAAATAAATAAAGTCAGATGATTTTTATTTAAATCTTGATGTTAGTTACCTTCTCCAAGACTGTTTCATCATCTGTGTAGACAGGAATCATGGTAGGTGCCTCCCAGTTAATTCTGAGAACTACACAAAGTCATGTTCTACTCATAGCACTTAGTGCGCTGCCTGGCAGAGTGTCATGCCCATTCATCAGTGGCTATTATTGCACAGCCTTGCCTGCTAATGGGGTGCATCTTCTCATTATCATCATCTTCTCCATCATTATATTTAGTATGATGATGTTGGTGGTGATGATAAAATGTATTAAACCATATATCTCAAGAGCTCCTTCGGAAGTCAGTTGGCCTTATGGGAGCCACAGAGAATCCCCTCAAAGTGGCTTCATGACTTGATATCTTCTTTCACTTTGTACTTTAGAAATAAATAGGACATATGCATCCTGTTTATCTACTCATTTATTCATTCAGCTTTCAACAAATATTTTTCAAGCACCTATGGTATACCAGGCCCCATTCTGGAACCCAGGGATAGAACAGTGAACAAAACAGATAAAATCCTCTGCCCTTATGGAACTGATTTATAGTCTGGTGGAGAGAAACAGACACTAAACAAATTCTCTAGGAAGTATGTAATAGTATGTCGAGTAATGAAAGTGCTATGAAGAAAAAATAAAATATTTGACTTTAAAATGAAAATAAGAGGTGCCTGGGTGGCTTAATCGGTTAAGCATCTGACTTGGCTCAGGTCAAGGTCTCATGGTTCATGGGTTAGAGCTCAGAGCCACCTTTGATTCCTGTCCCCCTTTCTCTCTGCCCCTCCCCCACAATCTCTCTCAAAAATAAATGTTTAAAAAACATAAGAAGAGGCTAGGAGAGTGGCAGGGAAGGGGTTGCAGAGACCTGTGTAGATAGGAAAGTGGCAGTTCTTAATAGGATGGTCACGTAAGTCCTTGCTGAGATGAACTCTGGGCAAAAATCCAAAACAGATTGGAGGTTGAAGCAAGGGGCCATCTGGAGGCATAGCTGGGTGGTGTGTGTCCCAGGTAGAAGAAACAGCAAAAGCTGTGCTTAAGAGACAGCAAGGAGGTCAGTGTGTGGAGCAGGGGAGCCAGGGGACATGTGGAGGAGGAGATGAGGCTGGGAGTAGCGCAGACTGTGTAGGCCCTGCTGGTCCCGTTGGGCAAGCCGTAGCTTCGGGAAGCATGCTCAGGCACGGCTCAAAACCACATTTAGCTCCCATATTCCAAGATTCTCCCCACAGACCTGTGGGTATCAGATATGTGAAGGGAAACGTTTATAGAGCTTGGTACTTCTGATATACCATGTCACTGAACCCTCCCCACATCCTGTGATATTATAGTTTTCCCCATTTTATGATTGAGAAACTGATTCAGAGATGCTAAGTGCCTAAGTACCAAGTGGTACAACTTGTATGTGTCAGGTGGATTTGAATCTAGTAATCAGCATTTGTTTCCAAACTATCCTTAACATTGCTGCCTCATTATTGGAAATCATGACCCAGGATCTGTGCATTTTACTATTTGGAAATTGTATTTCAAATAAGTAAACAAACAAGTAACATGACCTACGTTTCCCAAATCTTGCTCTGAGGCTCGGGAGGGGGAGGGGGTACCTCTAACCAAAAACCAAAATCAAAAAAACAAAGAGCATAGCATCTGAGAGCCCAGCACAGGATAGGCAACACTAAATTAAGATTCAGGAGACCCCGATATTGGTCCCTTGAGGATGGTTTTATACCAATAAATACCTGAAAATGACCTCAATGTTCACCAGTGAGGAATTTCATTACCGCCGACCTTTGAATGATGTAGGGGTGGGGGTGCCAACCCTTGCACAGTTGAAAATGCCCATATAACCTTGACTTGGTCAACACTTAACTATTAATAGTCTTACTGTTGACTGGAAGCCTTGCTCATAATGTAAACAGAGGATTAACACATAGTTTGTGTGTTACATGTATTATATGCTGTATTCTTATAATAAAGTGACCTAGAGAATATAAAATGTATTAAGAAAACCACAAAGAAGAGAAAATACATTTATTGCACTGTGCTGTAAAAAATATCTGTGTATAAGTGGATCCTCTATAGTTGAAACCCCTTACTGTTCAAAGGCCAACTGTAAGTTGGTGTAGCAATATGATGAAAGCTTATGTCGACCCTAAAAACTGTATATGTTTATTATGTATATCTTTATAGAAAGATACATACCCATATATATAGACAGAGTGGGAAAATAATAAGGTTAGATAACAATATGGGTGATGTGATTTCATTAGAGAGAAACTGAGGGAAAAATAGTTGATTTATATAAAAATGCTTGGATTAAATCTACATTTTTCTCATCAGCCTCAGCATGTTCCACATTGTAGAAAAATAAACATTAATTTAAGCCTCTGTATATTTCACCAACTTCAAGCAAATCTCCTTACACTCTAAGCCAATTATTTTTAAATTGCTGTCTGATTATTCCCAACAGGATACCTCTCAAAAGGCCTCCAAAATTTAATTTTGTGCTGTGAGTCAGAAACCTAGTCTGTGTGCAGTCAAAGGATTGATCTGAAAAGAAAGCAAAAACGGGGACCAAAATGCTTTATCTCTTACTTTTACTTTGTAACAACATAACGTTTTTGATAAGAAATAAGTTGTTTTCCATTTATTCATTTTTTTTCAAATTCCTGCCTTTAGAATGTCTTTTAAAATCACTGATTTTCTAAGTACTCCTATTAATTTAGGTGAACATTTAAAATTATATTTTGATTTTTAAAAAGGCCCCATGCCCAATGTGGGGCTTGAACTTATGACCCTGAGATCAAGAGTTGCATGCTCTACCAACTGAGCCAGTCAGGCATCCCTATATTTTTATTTTAGAAATGTTATCTTCCTGGAGCACCTGGGTGGCTTAGTTGGTTAAGTGTCTGACTCTTGATTTCCGCTCAGGTCATGATCTTGCGGTTTCCTGAGATTGAGCCCTGTGTCGGGCTCTGAGCTGATAGTGCAGGACCTGCTTGGGATTCTCTTCCTCTCTCCCTGCCCTTCCTTTTCTCCCCTTCTCTCTCTCTCCCTCTCAAAATAAAAAAAAAAAAAAATACTTTTTAAAAATGTTGTCTTTCTTACGTCACTTTTTTTTAAAGTTTATTTTCTTGAGAGAGAATACTCACATGTGCATGCACTGTAAAAGTTGGGGAGGCAGAGAGAGAGAGAGAATCCCAAGCAGGCTCCACACTGTCAGTGAGGAGCCTGATGTGAGGCTCGCATTCATGAAACCATGAGATCATGACCTGAGCCAAAATCAAGAGTCAAATGCTTAACCTTAACCCTTTTAATTTGGAACATTCCAGGTGACAAAACTTTAGACTGGTTTATTTCAAAACTTGGGGCATTTAAAAAAAATGAATATCTTAATCATTTGGCCAATAAAATATCCTTTCAATATATAAAATACCTAATTTTAAATATATTTAATTCTATACGCATTTCACAAAGGTAGATAAATACAACTTTAGACATTCTGATTTGAAATTCCAATTAAATTGCATTTAAGATTTTAAGCTTACCTCCTCCTTGTATCCAACCATTCTGTACTATTCGATGAAAAATTGAACCCATGTAATGTAGCCTGATGCCACGTTGAGAATACCCTGCTTTTCCTGTGCATAAGACCTGAAAGTTTCTACATGTTTTGGGACATGCATCATAGTATAGCTACAAATAAAGATAAGAAGTTTCAAAGATTAAATATTTAGTATTTTGACAGTTACAGATTCCTGCCTCCATCCCCCACTTATTTAAAAAAACAACAAAAATAACTAAAGAAAGAAAGAACAACAAAAAAACCTCTTACCTCAAAAATCAACCTTCCAATTGGCTGCAAATCAATAGAAATGTCCAAGAACACAAAACCATGCTATTCAAATTAGGGAGAAAAGAAAATGCAGGTCAATGTCTTGGAAGAAATTTTTAGAAATGAAGATACCACAGAATAATGTTTTTGGTTATAAAGTTTAAAAAGCATTAACAGTAGATAAGGGAATAGCAAAGTTAAAAGAATGACTTAAAGAAGTTTGTTTCATTTGTTTTTTAGAAGTTTGTTTCATTTGATTACATCAAGTCTTTACAACCTAAATAGTACCCTTGTTAAAACCCTTGGGTCAGGAAGCTTTGAATCACATTAACCTGTCACAGCGGACTGAGAGTATGTAGCCTAGATCTCCCCTACTGTGCAAGCTAGGCGTAGGAAGGAACACTAGATGTTCCCTTTGGTAAAAGAAACAGACTGGGAATTTTCTATCCTGAGAAATGTTGGGAAACATCCAATGTGATTGCCATGGATTTGGCTACCGTATGTTCTGGATTTTCAGTCAGCACAGAGTAGTTAACCAGAGCCGGGACACATCCTTTCTGAGTGGGGAAACAGGGACGCCATATCCATAGGAGGTATGGGTATCAGGGGAAGGGAAGACAATATGCTGTGCTTTCTTTCACGTTATTTCAATCCTGCCCTTATGTTCCCTGATGCCCTAGCTCTTGTTTTCAATTGGCATCCTTTCTGGTAGAGACAGCTAACATTTGTGTGACCTTGCCTAGCTCTACAAAGGAGCGCCTAAAATGAAAACACCAGCCTCCATCAAGGTAGCATTCATTTGCGGAGCAAATCTAACAGGATACATTAGGATAGCACATCTAATAGGATACATTCCAGATCTTGGGCACCATTCTCATGCACAAAAATGCCACCTGATTTAACAAGCTACATAACTGCCCTGTTTCCTAAAAATCTAGGAAACACAGATGAAATCAATTATAGGGTATCACTGTCACTACTTTATGTCACTTTAAACGTTTTTTAATTATAAAAATTATATATTTTTATTATTTTAATATTTGTTATTATTTGTTAATATTTTATATTATTTATTAATATTATTTGTTAATATTATTTGTTAGTATAACAAATATATTATTAGTTAATATTTGTTATTATTATATATTTAATATTTAATATATTAACAAAATATATTAATTTATATATTAATATTGTGCTATCTGGCATCCAGGAATGAAGTATTACATCCATAGTAATTATAATTTTAACTTTTTTGTGCCTGTCAGCTTCTGTACTACAAGTTCTTCGTTATAAAAGAATAGTATAACTTTATCATGAGGCATTATATAGTAAACTTCATGGGTTTGGGAGAAAAGAGGATATACTGGAAGTTACGATTGATTTATGAAATGGGTAAGTCCGTTCAGGCAGCACTAAACTTCCCTCTGTGTCAATATATTATCTTTATGCAGTTGTCAAGAGTAGATAATTCTGAAAATTCTAATGAAAGAGCAAATGAGCACATCACCAGGTGATGTCCCCTCGCTGCCAAACATACAAACATAATTATCTGGTATATCATTCGAACCCAGAAGTAAACAAGTCCCTGCAGCATGGAAAATCTTACCTCTGTACAAAAAATTAAAGGATTTTCTCTGGAATCTAGGTCCTCCTTCCTCACTGCCATTAATTCAGGCTGTTATTATCTCTAGCCCACATTACTGTAGCAGTGTTCCAAGTGGTCAACCAGTCACCAAGCTTTCCCCACTCCACCCTGTTTTTGCCCTAAAACTTTTTCTAAAAAAGCAAGATTATGCCATACTCTTTATGAAAAGTTCTGTTGGATCAGCTTCCTTCTAGAGGAAAATCTAACTCCTTAGTTCAGAATGGACAGTAAGTTCAACCTTTCTTTAGTGGATGTGTTTGTTTTTTTCCCCTCCTTAACATCTGAATACCTTTCCTCTTTGGGATATACCTTACAGGGACCCACCATCCCCTAAAAACAGTAAAGGGGCCAGATTCTTCCTCTCCTCACTTTTGTGAGAGCTGGGGTATGGGATATGACCTGGGCAGGATTAGTCAGATGCTCCTGCCTGAGGCCTTGGATCTCAGGGAGTGATGCAAAGACACCAGTTGAGAAGCAATTCTCGGTGAAGGTGGCAGTGTGAACCCAGGGCCGGTGGGCACGCATAGCTGCATCCGAGTTGCACATTTCTGGGACGTGACTCTGGCCACGTTTTCCTGCTGCCAGGCCTTTCACCTGTTTTCCAAAACCTGGTTCTCCGCTTTCCTGCCAGTTGTGAGGTTACCAGTATCCTTTTCAAGGCATACTTTTTTGCCCTTAAGTTAATCAGAATAGCTTGGTATTGTTGGTGACTGGTAATCTCATTTTCCCAGCCTCATTTCCTATAAATCATGGCCTCCTTGCCGTCCCCTGCCACTCCCTGAGTACGCCATGCACTTTGTCCTTTGGGACCCTTATCCTGCTGTGAACATTAAATTCCTCCCCATACTCCGCAGTTTCTAGGATTTTCCAAGTGCATTGTTTATTCAGAGAGACATTCCCTGAGCTCCAGATTCTCTGTGAGGCAGTACAGTTAAAGTGAGAATAAACAAAACAAAGTCTTTGCCTTTTTACAGCTCAGCACTGTAAAATCCTAGCACTGGGCCTTTCTATGGGCACAGGCAACTATAAGCATGAAATGATCTTCAGCATGTGGTGCTTATTGCTATAACAAAGTTTCTGAGCAAAATTACCAAGTACTTTTATCTCTATTGCCATTCCACTCTGATGTCTGTCTCTCACTCTCCTGGACCGTAAGCTTCATGACTGTTCTTTGCCATTGGAAATCTCCCTCGGGCCATAGCTTGCCTGGCCCAGCTCTTGCCAACTTGTCATGCTTTAATATGTCACCTTTCTTCTCAATCGAACTTCCCATTCTCTTAGTGCAGTACTTCTCACTTAAGTGTTAGAAAGTACTAATTAAAAATTTTCATACGAAGGGTGAATGGATGATAAGCTCGACCTTCTCTGAAGCGGGGGAGGTGTCTTTATGTTTTAAAATGGATAAACAATGCATATAAATCTCTAATGTGGAATAGAAATGTTTGAACAGGCAAGCTTCTCCCCCTGACCCCTGCCCCATGCAGTCTGCCTGCTGTGAGACATGCTTGCTTTACACACCACCGAGCCAAACACTGCAATATTATATATAATCTTTTGCAATTGGATTAGAGGTCATTGAGAAACTTAAAACCCAGTCTCCTATTGTTTATATTCCTTCTTTAGGATATCAGTAATTAATGCTGAATCAATATAAATGATCAAAGATTCCACTCTTTTTCTTTAAAATTAGTGAACTTGCCTTGGTATCTCTTAAGAATTTAGCAGAATAATCCACAGTAAGTGCCTCATAAAGTGCAGGGGGCTTAAAATCAACTACATCCCACATCTTGTGAGCCCATTTCTGAAGATCGAATGCATCACCCAGGAACTGATCGTTAACAAAACACATCACATAGGAAGAATATTCCCAGATCTCATTCTTGAGTTCCTATAAAGAAAAAGGATAAAAAGCTGTACTGGCTGGGGGAGAGGGGGCAACCACACTTGCTAAACCCACAAGCCAGAGCTTGGGATTGACTCTTTAACCTAATCTTTAAAAAAATAATTTTTTTGCCATCTTTTAGAATTTCGTTCTCAAATAGAACTTAACATATTTAAAAATCTGACATCACTGAAAGCAAAAAAAAAAAAAATGGTCTAAAAGCAATATTAAAAATGGTAGAGTAAAAAAAAAAAATAGCAGCACCTAGGTGGCTCAGTTGGTTAAGGGTCCAGTTCTTAACTTCAGCTCAGGTCATGATCTCACAGTTTGTGAATTCAAGCCCTGCGCTGTGACAGTTCTAGGCAAACTGGGACAGCTGTGCTGTCAGCACAGAGCCTGATTGGAATTCTGTCTGCCCCTTACCCAAGCTCTTTCTCTCTCAAAATAAATAAATAAACTTTTAAAAACAATTTTTACAAATGGTACATAAAAGGTAGATCATTATCTGGTAATAAAAATCTGTGTGCATAGTATACTTGTTAACTTAAAAACAAAATGCAGTCTCTGGCTTCATTTGTGAAGTACATTTTACTGTGTATATACTTGGAAAGGGTTGGAGCTCTGAGTAATACATGATTTTCAGTGTCAAAGATGAAAAGAATGCTTTTTTGAGGGAGAGGGGTCAGGGTAAGGAAATGCCTCCTGGGGGCCCACAGGGATTTCTAGCGCACCCCAGGGGCACTGAGAGAGAGACCTCACGTTTGCCAACACTCTGAAGTCCTAAGCCCCTTAAAATGAAGTGCATTCGTGTGTTCATCCACACACTAATGGTCAACCTCCTAAACTCCAGTGTGTGGCCACTGAGTAATGTCCGCTCTGAAGAGATCCGGTTTATTATTACCCAGGGCCAGTCCTGGCAAAAGCATGAATAATTTGGGACAGCTGTTTTCAAATTTTAGCAGTCCAGCAGAATTACAGATTCCTAGCCCCACCCAGAGTTTCTGATTCTGCAGTGGGGCCCTAGAATTTGCATGTCTAACAGCATCGCAGGAGATGCTGACGTTGCTGGTCTGGAGGCCACACTTGGGGAAATGCTGTTTGGGGGAACAGTTTGCTCCAGCTTGCCAGTTTGCTGCGCTCCCAGCTCTTCTCCCAGATTTCAGATCCTTTGCCCGCACCCATACCAAAACCTGGTTTGAGGAATAAAAGAACCTTGTTCATGCTAAACTTTACATTACTCATAGAGCCTGTGGGTCAAGAGTACCTAAACTATTTAGATATATTAGTGTTACCACATTGTATAGAATGCAAAACTTTACTTTTTTATTTTTAACTTAAAAAAAAATTTTTTTTTTAATTTCTGAGAGAGAGAGAGAGGGAGACAGCGAGAGACAGCGTGAGCAGAGAAGGGTCAGAGAGAGAGGGAGACACAGAACCTGTAACAGTATCCAGGCTCTGAGCTAGCTGTCAGCACAGAGCCTGACGGGGGGCTCGAACCCACAAACCGTGAGATCATGACCTGAGCCCAAGTCGGACGCTTAACCGACTGAACTACCCAGGTGCCCCTAGAATGCAAAACTTTAAAACGGGATATTATTTAGCCTGTGCATGGCTAACTTGGATATTTAGTTAGCCTGGTGGGAGAAACACAGTAGAAGGAGCACTTTACTCAGAGGCTGGTGACGCAGATGCCTTGTCTCCATGTGTCTTCTGTACACGAGCAGGCCTCACCTGCCTCCAGACAGTGAGCTGGACCCAGTGGTTTCTGCGGCTTTCCAGCACTGAGCTGTAAGACGTTGCCTTTTATTTTGGAGAGGAGAGAAAGGCCTTTCCAAAGGCCCAGAAGCCATCAGTCAGGGGTGGCATTACCATCTGCTGAAGCGTTAAGGCCGGCTCAGACCTTACCTCAACTGTGCTAAGAAGTACATGTGCATACACAAAGCACAATGCTTACACTGAAGAAGGACAAAAACTGGCCTGAAACAAGAAAAGGTTAAGGTGACAAGTACCCAAGAGATGAGGGTGGGAGACGGAAGGAAGGGAGGAAGGAGAGGCAATAAAGAACAGGTAGAAAGAAGCATTGGTGACTATGGGGAAAGCCTCATTCAGGCCTCGTGAGAAAAGCAGGAGGAAGAGAACACAACACATCCCCAGGTCAGTAACCCAGGCTGACATGGCGGGAAACTATGGAATGAAATTCACACCAGTCGTTAAGAATACAGTGGGAATCTGTAAGAGGAATGGGTGCGGTCCACAGCGCATGAGATCCTGGCTTTCCTGTAGGCGGAGAGCAGGATACTGGTAGGCAGTGTAGGTAGTTTGGTGACAAAAATTAAGAACCTACTGTTTTATGTTCAGGTGACTAACTGTCCTGACCAGCTGTCCCAGTTTGCCTAGAACTGTCCCAGCTTAGCACTGAATTCCTGCATCACAGGAAACCCCTGGGAACCAGGCAAACCAGGCCCACTGGTCACCCTAGTTGTTGTAAGGATTGGAGTTAATATATACATAAGGCAAGAGAATAGTGTCTGGCATATGACCCGAAGTGTTTGCTACTATTCTATCTGAATTCCAGTGAAAATGTATTATGGCTATGAAAATGGTATGAGACTTAACAAGTGGCATTCTCGACTCAGCCCTGCAGCATTCATGGGAGCACACAGGGAAATGGTCCCGTAAAGCAACACTATATGATAACCACAGGATCCCAGGACATCCTTGTGCAACAAAGAACAGAACAATCAAAACTGCTCTGGTCAGGGGAAATGAGATTTCATCAGCCACTGGAGAGATGGGGCGGGGCAGGGAGACCAGGCTGGGGATGGCAAGCAGGAAGTGTACCCCATGCCAGCCTCACTGCAACACGAAGTATTACTGGGCCACATAGCACCTTGGAACCCTTCATGTCACATGTTCTAGGCAGCACTGCCAAATGATCAGGAAACTGCTGTCCCGGGACAAAGTCTGCTGGCCCTGGGACCTGGGGTTCTCCAGGGTGTTGTTAGTGGGGAGAAGGCAGGGAAGGAAGCTTTAATTAGCACAAGGCTGCCCTGTGGGGACTTGGTGCCTGTCATCAGGGCTCCCGTAGGCCACAGCACCACACGAGCGCTTGCTGGTGTGTGTGCTGTGCACCACCAAAACCTTCCACCGGAAGGCCGAGAGTGCCAAGGCGTCACGGGAGGCGTGAGGACGTGATGTGCAGGGAGAGAGGGCTCACCGTCAGCAGGGGTAAACAGCAGCACTGAGAGTTTAAAACTTACCTTCATCACGTCTTTCAAAAGACAATTCTGTAAATGTTTTACTTTCTCTTAAGATCAGCTTGGTAAAATGATTCAAATGACTTAGAGAAATCAAATCTAGTTGCTCTAAAATCAGTGCTTCAGTTTTTCCAAAACAACGCACAGATAAATAATTTAGACAAAACTTTGCTCATTTCCCATATCCCGAATATCCTTTACCCGTTTTTTCTCCTGCAGATATTGGTCCCATGCAAATTCTTGAAGAGGAACTATTATAGGATCTTCAAATTTGGATGGATAATTACTCTTCAGACTCTAGGTTTCAAAACAGAATAATTATAGGGTAAGTTCTCTTTTAAAGTAGAAATAATTTCCCCCCAATTTTTATGGGGGCTTCAAGAGGTTTTATACAGTGGATGCCCAGGCCACACAATCAGACTTAGATGCCCCCTGCTTGCTCCCAGAGGCCCCTGTGCTGATCTCCAGGAAGTCACTCCCCAGTTCACACTGGGGCTCTGGCTTATGTCTCTCGCTTGTAGACTATAAGGCCAAGACTATGTCCTAGTTTTCCTGAACTCCCACTGGCCTTGACACCTGGTACACAGCGGACCACACGTAGCAAATGAATGAACAAATGAACAAATAAATGAGTTTATGCCAGTAGTTTTGTGATTTGCCATGTTCTTTTAGAACCAGTTTTTTCCTAAGTTAAATTCTTCCTAAACCTCAGTGAATCTAAAGTTTTTCTTTTTAATGAAAAGAAAATGTTATTTTAACTGCAGTGTTTTATTAGTTTCAGGTGGGCTTCAACAGTTCCATACATAACCCGATGCTCATCACCAATTTCACCCACCTCCCCACCTCCTCTCTCGATAGATACTTGTAACTAAAATAAATAAATGTTATTATTTGAATTTATTGATACATAAAGAATGACCAAAGGAATAGTTTTGTGGTTATACCCCACAACAATAGAGAATACTAAATGTTAAGTATTTTAGGTATTGAGCACGTTTGGGTTTAACATTTATTATTTTGTCTATATGAATCAGAGAAAATTCCTACCGGTTAACGATTCTTGTCAAAAAAAAGCTTTGAGTCCTGACATGTTGCACTTTGCCTCCTGGTAAAGCAAGAGAAGGCAGGTAAGGCAATACCAATTAGGCCTCAGCTTGCTGAGTGGGTCCGAGTAGATGTGTCTACTAGGGAAAAGGGACAGCTGGCTGCTGCACTTGGCACCTTCTCCACTAAGGAAGGTGCTCAGAGGTCCTACTGTGGTCTAAAAGAGGACACCAGCCTGGCATGCTTCATCCGGGGTGCATATTCCAAGGGGGAGAGAGCCAGGGCGCGAGTGTATCCTGCCTCTGGGGCCAGGGGGAGCCAAACAGAACAACGGCAATTGGGTCATTTCCTTCTTAGACCACTGCCCAACCAACAGATGATGATGTGTCTTTTTTCCAGTATCCATGATCAGTTGGAAGCAATTGTGTTTCTAACTGGGGGACCACCTAGAATAACGAAGAAGCCCAGCAGTTTTCAAATTAAGCATCCTTAATCATACTTTCTTCATAATTTAGTGTCGAGAACAGACTACATCCAAAACAGAATCTATGTGATGCTGACTCTTCACAAATCTAAATCTCTGTCAGCATGTTAGGTATTCAGGATTGCTCACCAAATGATCATGTTGAGAAATTATTCAAGGATCCTTTATTAAGATAAACGAATGGAATTTACATTGATACATTTTCATATTCAAATAGCGGTACAGTAGGCAAAGCTTAAGAAAGTGAAAATTAATCTTATGAATATAACAAAGACATTGTTTTCCAGACTTAGTATCCTCTACAACAGGGTTTGGCAAACTGTGGCCACCAGGCCAAATTTGGCACGCTGCCTGTTTTTGTAAGGCTTGAGAGCTAAGAAGACTTTTTAGATTTTAAGCACCTGAAACAAAAAATCATTCCATGTCATGTGAAATCATATGCAAATCAAATTTCAGAATCCTTAATTAAGTTTTATCAAAAGCGCCACTCATTTACATATTGTCTGTGGCCGCTTTTGCACAAGGACACAGTCAAATAGTTGTGACAGAGAGCCTATGGCTGTGAAGGCCTAATAATTTAATATGTAGGCTTTACAGGAAAAAAACTGTCAACACCTTCTCTACAGTGTGGAGCACGCACAGAAAACACATACCTGCAGAAAAGGAGCTAAAGAAAAACAAGGAAAAAAGTCCCCCAAACTCCTTAAATACAACTTAAGCCATAAACTTTATAGATCCCCTCAGCCCAGCTAACAGTCCATAATTTGTTTATTTTGATGATCCAGGTATCATTTAAACAGACTTCTCACTTGTTCTCTTCCTCTTGATATAAACTTCACCAACTTCACAAATTAGTTACTGTGAAACCGAATAAAGGGAACCTCATTTAAAATAGAGTCGGGGGCACCTGAATGGCTTAGTCAGTTGAACATCCCACTCTTGATTTTAACTCAGGTCATGATCTCTTGGTGGTGAGATGGAGCCCCATGTCAGGCTCTGCGCCCAGCACTTGAGATTCTCTCTCTCTCCTTCTAACCCTTTCCCCCTTGCACCCTTTCTCTCTCAAAAAATAAATTTAAAAATTAAAAAAAAAATTTTTAATGGAGTCAGGAGGCCAGAAGGGGGTGCTCTCATGCCTTACCACCACTCAGTTGCAGACACCAGTAGGTCAGGAAGAGCATTCCCTTCAGGGAGAAGTCTATGTTACTACTCCAGCAGAAGGCAGGGAGAATGTCTCCTTTTTCTGCAACAACCTGGCCAAAAAGATAATACCATAACTCAACCGTCGAGAAACTATCACCACCCTGAACTCTCACCTTCTATCAAAGCAGCCCCTCCCAACTTCTTACTTTTCTCTATGCACCTCTTTTGATCTCCCATATTGCCCTTGGTTTGCCATAGCTTATATGTCCTAAATTGCAATTCCTGTTATTACCAAATAAACCCATTTTGCTGATAAAATAACCAGCTATTTTAAGGTCAACAGTTAGTGTTTCTTGATTTGATGCAATAGGCAAACAGCAGGCAAGAAGGCAGGAATTGCTTAAGATTTCTTCTATTTGAGAACACTTGTGTCAGGTATCCAGCTGGATACTTTGGGAGATACCAAAATAGGGCATGGTCCTGGAGTCTAGTGGGGTTTTGAAGGAGAGGATTTTGGCATAATCTTACAGTAGCATTTGTGGAGCAAACCCCAGAGATGTGATGAATTCTGCATTTCTCATGTCATACATTTCTATACTTCTGTATTTCCATAATACTTGTGCTGCACCATTACTGACCTGGCCAAATTCTTCCAATTGCTTAAAGTGTTTTTCCTTTTATATCGGTCCGTGTGTTTGCAAAGTAGTATCTAGATTCTCCAAAGCACTTGTGACAGAGTCATTTGTTAAGAAATTCCTTAAGCACCTAATTCGATTGGAACGCAGTAACTGCTATAGAAAATTTAAAGGAGAAAAAAGAAACCTTCCCAAACGAAGTTTCCAAAAATTTGGGAAGGTCGTTTGTAACAAAACAAAACAAAATCTGTAGTTAGGAGGTATCACTTATTTCTAAACATTTTTTCCATGAATTTTTAAAGTCTGTAATTCACGTAAAAATGTGGAAATAAAATGTGGGTGTGTCGAGGGGGAATTACCCTCCTCCACCCAGCAAGGTTCTGAGTTTTCCTTCGTTCGGATCCCCCTTTAAAGGTAGCCCTCCTGGTAGTGGAAAGTCCGCGCCACGCTACCCTGACCCCTGAGAGGTACACTCATACAGCTCCGCCGGCCGGGACACCTCCCTACGTCGCCGAACTTCGATCCGGGTCACCAGGAGGCGCGAGACCCGCAAGCCGGAAGAGACACCCGCACTTGTGGTTATTCTCATGGTTACCTCGGCAGCGCTCTTCGCGATGTGAAAGCTGGAGCTTTTGAAGACCCCCACCACCTTCACCTGCAGCGGCTGCTCGGGCGGTGACTTCGAGCAGTACCGGGCCGGGCTTGGCCGGCACTGCTGCGGGCTAGCCATGGCGGCGCTGGGGGACTGCTCCGAGCACAAACACTGCGCGTCGCCACGGCAACCACGCGGCCCCGCCCCCGTCGCCGGCAGAGAGGAAGGACGCGCGGGGGAGGGGGGCGACGGGCGTATCTTTTATCAACTTTGCGCCTGTTGCTGGCGAGCCCGGCGAGAGGCGAGAAAGGCGCGCGGGCGGCTGCGGCCCGGGACGGAGTTTCGGCACAAAGGAACGGAGTGCTCCGCGTCCCGCGTGCCTCGACCCGGCTGGCCGCCCGCCCGAACTCCCCTCCGGTATCCCCGCCTCGGGGACCTCGTGCGCGCGGCCCTCGCCTCCAGGCAGCGTCCAAATTCGCAGCAGATCGCCTTTCCAGGTCGGTAGGCAGCCAGTTGGGGGCCAGCGGGCCGCTTGCCCGGGCAACGCGCAGTCGGACCCCGGCTCAGGGCCTGAGCTGCGCATGCTGGGAGGCCGCGGCCTTGAGGGGAGCGCGGGGGCGGGGCCGACCACCTGTGCGTGCGGCCCCGGGAGGAGGCGCCACCCCCTCGGGCCCGTCCCCGCCGCGGCCGTCGCAAGCGAGGCAGTGCCGTCCCGCGTCCCCGGACCGTCCTCGCCATGAAGCCCAACTTCTCTCTGCGACTGAGGATCTTTAACCTCAACTGTTGGTGAGAGCGCCCGCGGGTCGGGTCGGGGGTCATAGCTCCATTCGCACCCACAGTCAGGGAGGAGGCCTTCCTCACATCCGGGCCCTGGCTCTCCCTTGTCCTAAAGTGTCCGGGTCCGGGGGGGCATCCGCATCTCCAGGGCCACGCCTGGTCCCAGCCCCGGTGGTGCACGGAGAGCGGAGCGCCTCCAGCCATCACCTCCCCCGACCCTTCTCGTCCTCAGGGGCATTCCCTACTTAAGCAAGCACCGGGGTGACCGCGTGAAACGCCTGGGAGACTTTCTAAACATGGAAAGCTTCGACCTAGCTCTCCTGGAAGAGGTGGGCAGTGCAGAACTGGTGTGGAACCCTGGCTGGGACGGGGGCGGCTGGGGGCTCGGGAGAGGACTTGTCCCCGGGGGGGGGGGGGGAGGAGACAGGCAAGCAGGCATCCTCACCCCTTCCCTCAGGTGTGGAGTGAGCAGGACTTCCAGTACCTGAGACAGAAGCTGTTGCCCACCTACCCAGCCGCACACTACTTCAGGAGGTGAGAAACCTTCTGTCTGGAAGTCTGTTCTCAGACTGGAAGCTCTTGGTCCTGACAGCCCCTCCCTATCCCATCTGCGCCCAGAATCCTCTCCTCTGTGTGTAGGTGCAGGACTAGGTGGAACCAGGAAGATCCTATCTCTTCAGCCCATCCCAGCCTGCCCTAGTCACGCATGTCACCCCACAAAGGCTTTTGCTCTGAGCGTTCCTCTGTGCTGATCTCAGCAACAGAGTGAGAAGAAAGATGCTGATACAAGCTGGGAGACCAGGGAGGGGAAGAGGGCTGGTATTTCTCTTCCTGCTTTTCTGGCTGTTAACCAGAACTTGGCTTACAGTGGCATCATTGGCAGTGGCCTCTGCGTCTTCTCCAAACATCCAATTCAGGAATTCACTCAGCACGTCTACACTCTCAATGGGTACCCCTACATGGTAAGCCTTATGTCAGATTTCTTCCACCACCCTTTCCCACCTGGTAAAGGAGGAACATGCGGAAAAGGAGGCAGCCTTTCTTGGGCTTCAGGGGATGGGCAGAAGGAGGGTAGCAGTGCCCTGAGTTCCTGCTCCCTCCTGCCTGCAGATCCATCATGGAGACTGGTTCTGTGGGAAGGCTGTGGGGCTGCTGGTGCTCCATCTAAGTGGATTGGTACTCAATGCCTATGTGACCCACGTGAGTGAAGTTGGCGAGGGCTGGGACAGGTGGCCTGGTCCTGGGAGGGAGACATGGGACTCCTCTAGTTGGGCTTCCTGGGGGTGAGGCGTGGGGACAGGATCTCCTAAGGTGAGAAGGCAAGGTTTGCCCATCTTTTAACCAAGTATCATGCCAGGTGACAGACACCAGCATGATTCAGACCTGTCTTTGGGACCCCCCGTCCCCCTTCCTGGTCTCATCTGGTATAATCTGACCTATCTTGCTCAGCTCCATGCCGAGTACAATCGACAGAAGGACATCTACCTAGCACATCGTGTGGCCCAAGCTTGGGAACTGGCCCAGTTCATCCAGTGTGTGAGCCTGGGCTTGACAGGGGAAGTGGGATGGGGTCAGGGGTGGAGGGGTGGCCAAGGTTCCACTTCTAGGTTGGGCACAGCTGGTCAGGGAAGACCTCCTGCCTCACCAACCCGGTTCCCCCAGCCACACATCCAAGAAGGCCGATGTGGTTCTGTTGTGTGGAGACCTCAACTTGCACCCGAAGGACCTGGGCTGCCGCCTGCTGAAGGAGTGGACAGGGCTGCGTGATGCCTACCTTGAGACCCGGGACTTCAAGGTGCGGACTGCCTGATTATTTCCATGCCTACACCCCCAGCTTCTCTCCTCCTCCTCCCCTACGTCCTAGTGCGAACCATTTATTCACCTAGGGCTCTGAAGAAGGCTGTACGATGGTACCTGAGAACTGCTACGTCAATCAGCAGGAGTTAGAGCCATTTCCCTTTGGCATCCGCATTGACTATGTGCTGTATAAGGTCGGGCCTCTCCCTTCAATGTGTTTTCACCCACTGTGTCTCTCTGTCTTTCACCAGCTTGTGCTAAGCTTTTGTCCACCTTGTCTAGTCTTAGATCGCTGATGGCTTAAGAATGGGAAGAGGCCCTCAGTATGTTTCTCTCTGGCCCTTACTTTTCCTAGGCAGTTTCCGGGTTCTACATCTCCTGTAAGGCTCTTAGAACCACTATAGGCCATGATCCTCACGGTGGCACCCCTCTCTCTGATCATGAGGCCCTGATGGCTACTCTGTGTGTGAGACACAGCCCCCCTCAGCACACCCCCAGCCCTACTCACGGTAAGACACCCACACCCTTTCCCTAGGTCCCTCCCCACCACAAGGCAGTCCCTCCACGCTGACCCTCTCTCTCCTGCCCCACTACCCTGCCTTGTTCTAGGATCGGCAGAAAGATCGCGGTTGATCAGTGTGTTAAAGGAGGCCTGGGCAGAGCTGGACCTGGGCATGGCTCAAGCTCGCTGGTGGGCTGCCTTTGCTGGCTACGTGATCGGTCTAGGGCTGCTGCTTGTGGCATTGCTGTGCACTCTGGCAGCCGGAGGAAGGGTCCGGGAAGTTGCCATACTGCTCTGGACTCCCAGTGTAGGACTCCTGTTGGGGGCGGGGGCGGTCTATCTCTTCCACATGCAGGAGGCCAAGGGCTTATCTAGGGTTTGGGCTGAGCTCCAACATGTGCTGGGCAGGGCAAGGGAGGCCCAGGACCTGGGCCCAGAGTCTCAGCCAGCCCTGCTCCTGGGGCAGCAGGAGGGGGACAGATCTGAGGAACAATAAAGCCTGACACTTTTGTGGCTCTGCCTTTTCCTTGTTGAAGCAGTGATTGGGGCCAAGGGTCAGTGTCACTGTCATGATATAGACTGTCAGGCTCCGACACCTCTGCCTGCCCTGCATACCCTGCATCTCACCTACAGGCAGCCAAGCCTTGCGTGTGGCAGGAACATTTTTATTGTAAACAGTGAGGCCCCCCTCCCAGGCAGCCCAGATGAACAGGGTGGCACAGTCCTCGGGTGAGGTGGTCGTCCTTGCAGGGACGAGGGCAGGCAGCCCCCCTCTGCTAGCCCTGGGCCCCCGGCTCCGAGGCCAGCTCACTGAGCCTGCGTTCCTCCTGGAAGCGGATGAGTGCGTCTCGCTGGTTCACCACATCCAGCAGCTTCCTCAGGACCTGGTCCTCAGCCTGCCGGTCTGCAGGGGTCTTCAGGGTTTCTGAAGAAGACGATGGAGCTTAGAGAACGGGGAACTGCACGGGGAGGCAGGAAAAGCACAAGCTTGTCCTGGCCTGCGTGACTTCCACAACTAGGTAGGGTAAGTTTCCTCATCTGTAAAATGAGGAAGATCACTGTAAAAAACCCCAGTGGTTTTCTAGCATTGTTTAGCAGGAGCACCATTTTTATTTTAGTTTAGACTGATTGATTGGTTTATATATATACACACATACATATATACATATGGATGTAATTTCCACACCCAACCTGGAGTTCGAACTCATGACCTCACGATCAAGAGTTCCACCTGAGGCGGCCAGGTGCCCCAGCAGCAGTGCCATCTTTAAAGGCAATCTTAGGTAAAAGCTCAGTTGTGCAGCCCTGATTGAACTGAAGGCAGAGTAGGGGCCTGGACCCCCATTCGCTGGCTTCCTCCTGACATGTCTCAGAGGCACTCAGACTAGAGGACCATGTAGCCTGATCAGTGCCTGAGGTCACACGGCTGCAAACACCAGCCCCGTGATGTCCGCCTCTCTGTGTCCCCCCTACCTTCCCGGTTCATGTAGCCTCGTAGCTCCTGGTCCAGCTGCCACTGTTTGTCCTCCAGTTTCAGCTCCTGCACCCTGTGGAGGGCAGGGATTGAAGAGGCACAGCTGTCCCAGGTGCCCAAGAAGCTGGCTGGGGTCTGGCTTGTGCCACTGTCCCCACCCCCTGCCCCTTACGTGATCATGAGCTCTGCCTCCTCCGCCACCAGGCTGTTTTTCTTCTGAACGAGCTGGAGCAGCTGTTCTACCCACAGTGCCTTTTGCTGTTCCGGGGATCCTGACGGGCCAAGGAAGAGTGGGGGACGGTAGTCAGGCGGTCCCTAACCGGGGTCACGGGTGTCAGGGGCGTGAGGAGTGGAGCCTGCTGGAGGCAGGGCCTGGTGGTGTGAGGCACTGCCGGGGCTGAATGCACAGCTAGGAGGCAGAGGGGTGTCCCAGCTTGTCCTTCCTGTCTTTACTCACTGCTCTGGCTTCTCAAGGCCAGCTCCAGCTTCATGCCCTCAGCCTCCAGCTCCCTTAGAGCGGTCTCAATTTCATTTAGTCGCCGCTGGACAGCCTGAGGGGTGCAAGACAGGAGGCCCGGGAGTCTTTGGATTGTTCAAGAAAGCACCGGAGAAAGTGGGACCCCATGTCAGACCTGACCCCATCAGCAAACCCCTAGACCCCTCACCTGGGCCTTGCAGAACCGCTTCATCTCCTCCTCCCTAGCACGGCGCAGCAGAGTCCGCCGCCACGTTGGGTACTTGTCCATGGTGCCTGAGTTCTTGGCCAAGATCTGCAGAGCCTATGGCGGGGTCAGGGCGGTCAGGGGTAGGACCTGGCCTCCCTGTCGGATAGGGGCTGGGGAAGCTTTGTTTGGACGGGACCAAAGCTGCTTGGGCTGGAGGTGGGTAGAGTGAGTTCTGGTAGGAAAGACAGAGGCTTCGCGACCGGAGCCACACAGCGGGAGAAGACACTCTGAGAGACTGGCTCAGAGCAGAGGGAGGCGTCCTACGGGTTTGTCCTGTGGCGGGCAGTAGGCTCTACCTCGTGGATGCGTGCTGGCTTCAGCAGCGCAGGCGGCCAGGTTCCTCCTGCTCACCTGCTCTGTGTGTGAGTCCAAAGCCACAGCTTCCTCTTCCTCTGTTTCCTCCTCACTGGAGGGCGGGCTCTGTTCCTCCTCTTCCTCCATGGCCACAGGAACTGAACGGAGTAGACACGGCGTGGGCCCACACCTCCCTTTCCACTCCCCAGCACTCCCCTTTCGGGAACCCCAGTACCCCCCAGGGCACCCCCACCTGGGTGTGCAGTTACCTTGAGGGCTCCGGACTGGCATGCCCCAACCGACAAAGCTGCCTTCCAGGGCCTGGCGGGCCAAGGCAAGGCAGCTGCGGGGAGGCTTGGGTGGGGGCTCTAGCTCTGGGTCAGGAGTGAGATTAAGGGAGGACAGCTGCTTGCGCTCTGGGCTAGACAGGCGGATCCGCTGACGAGGAGGCTGGCTGGGGCTTGGGGCTGGAGCAGTCCTCTCCTGGGGGGTGACAGCCCCTGAGGGCCCTGATGGCATGCTGTTTTCATCCGGTGTGGGGAGGTCCTGGAAAAGCCACCATGTAGTCTGGTCAGCGATCTGCCCATTGTGGGGCTGCGGCTGCCCCCTTAGACAAATGTGGGTTCTGGCATTCATTCACTTATGCCATTTACTGAAACGTGTCAGGGCAGTGTTCTAGACACTTGAGATAAATCAATAAGATAAAAACCCTGCCTTCACGGAGGTTTTTTTTCTGGAGAACATCCAGTCACCCCCAGCAAAGTAAGCGGGGCTTAGACCCCTTTACGGTTTCCCACACTCCAACATTTTCACAGCTTTTACCTGACTCTCAGGGCCTTTGTCACTGCCTTCCTCCTTGTGGCCTGCCTGGGGCAGGTGCTGGAGGCAGTAGAAATGTCCTGGGAAGGGTGGAGAAGGGGAGAAGACATGAGATGTAGGCAGCCCAGTGCACAGACACTCAGTTTATCAGGGAAGGTGGGAGTGACAGGACTCCAGATTTGCAGGTGAATTTCTGCTGGTGTCCTGCTTCCTTAGAACCCTACATTTTGGGGTTTGGAGGGGACAGAGAAGACCTTAAACCCAGGGGAACTCAAGTGCCACCTTGAGCCTGTTGCCACCTCATGCCCAGTACCCCACTTCCCCTGCGGTTTCAAGATCCTTGCCGCCAGGCAGGGCCAGGCCCCAAGTGTCTGTGGAGATCTCCCAGGCCCCCCTTACCATCTCCCGGGTGCTGCTCATAGCCACCTGGCCACAATGTGGCCTCACAGGTATGACAGCGGAAGCAGCTCCGATGAAAGAAACGGCCATCAGCACAGAGACGTTCCAGGATGTAGAGGTGTTCTCCACAAAGTGCACACAGGTCCCCAGCACCAGCCTGCACCGAACCCCAGACCACAGGCTCAGCTGGAGTCGAGGCCAGCTGCAAAGGTCTTCCCGATCCTTGAGACACCCCTCCTTGGACTCCCCAGGCCTCTGCCTGCAGGCAGGGCCCCTTCCTCACCTCTTGGTGTTGGGATGGGGGTGTCAAGGGTACACCAGCCTCTGGGACAGGTGGCTCCTCAGTACTTGGGGTTTTAGCATCTACCTAAGGAGGTAAGAGTTTGGGCAGGGAGGTAGAGGGGCTGGAGAGTGGCTGTGTGCAGAGAATAGAAAGGGCTGGAAGAAAAGTGAGACAGGAAGGGAATCGAGATGTGGGTGGAGGTGGGGGTGGGCTCCAGGGCCTGGGGTAGGGAGCAAGACATGGCGGCACAGGACAGAGAGTGCCCAGGGAATAGAGCATGGGGCTGTCCAGCCCCTAAATGCATTTACCTCCAGGCGCGGCTTCTTGCCACCAGTATCCTCCCCGTTTTCCTGCAACAAGTCCTACGCTTTAAGCATGGGAGCTCTGAGCCCCCAGCCCTCCCCCCACTCTGAACCTCCTCCCCAACATCCCAACGATTCCCACTAGCAGTGCACTGCCCCGCTGCAACTCTGCCCAGACTCCTCACCTGGGCACGGGTCCGCTGCAGGGTCCTATGCAGTTTGCCAAGGAACAGCACAGCACTGGAGGTCCCCTGAGAGCCTTGGCTGACAGAGCCTGTCAGGGTGGACGGGAAATCAATACTGGACCTCTGGAACAGACCGCTGCAGTGCAGCCTGGGGTGCCTCTCCCAGCTGTCCCTCAGAGGGTGCCTCCCCCACCCCCGTGCCACCCACCTACCCCCCAGGCCACCTGGGTTGTGGGGCATGCTCTTGAAGGCACTGTGGAAGTGGCTGAGATAAGCGATGAGGCCCAGCGGGTCGCTCCCTGTCACCACTGCCTTTGCGGACAGCACGGGCGTGATGCCCAGCTCATGTTCTGCCATCCTCAGCGCCCAAGCAGTTGCTTCCAGGGCTCCCACCCCCTGCAGCTCTGAGGGCTCCCTGTGGATGTTGGGGAGAAAAGCTGATGGGAGACCAGAACCTGACCCCGTCAAAGGGGGACAGGGTGGGGAGAGGGCAGCAGGCAGGGGCTGGTGGGGTATAAAGGGAGCACAGGGCATGAGGGGATTATTCTCTGCTGTGCACACCTCCCTCGTGCTCCCCACCTACCCAGTGGCAATTTTCTGGCCGTGAGGGGCCTCCACCACTCACAAGCCACCCCTACTGAATGCACTGGACTCTCATGAGACTTGGGCAGGGAGGTGACATGAGCAGGACTACCAGCAAGCGGTGGTCCTGGGACTCAACTATGTGACTCCTACACAGTGGTCTTCCCACCAGTCCACACTGCCTGAGGTAGAAGGAGGAAAAGACATGAAAGATGGATGGACTGGCTGGGACCCCCTGAGCCCAGTTCGCAACTCACAGCAGGCCCGGCCGCAGCCGGTGCACCAGGGCACACAGAGCCAGCCCGTCCGCCCAGGAGGTAGACAGGTCGGTGACATGGACACCCGGGTACCCAGCCGTCTGCTCCTGGCACCAGCGTAGCAATTCTTCCTGGGTGCCTGCCGACCCTGAGAGAGGAAGCTGTGCTGTACTCAAGGGCCCTGGCTCAAAGGTGGCCCGGGTGATGGGCACGGGGGTCAGTATGGGAGGTGGAGGCGGGACCCATGCCTACAGGGGCACCAACTTAATGCTCACTGCTTTCATCCCAATTCTCTCTTTTTGGAATAAAGTGGAGAAAGTAAATCAGGTAGAATCACCGCGAGGCACAGAGGGCAGAAGGCTACGAACTGAGGGACAAGGGACGTCTGGAGGCTCAAAGGGAGGGCAGGTCTGGGGTCTGCAAGGCAGCACGGCTGCTGTCAGCCACTTGGGCTGTCGGGGTGGGAGCGGTTGTTGAAGTAGTAATATCCTGCACCCAGGCTGGCAGGCAGCTGCTGTTGTCCCTCCACCCTGCAGGGGGCTCCCAGCCCGAGGCTGCAGCTGTGCTGATGGCTGGTGCTTGTACCGCTCCGGGTGGTAAATATTTTGGGACACGGCCCCTGGAGGAGGGCTTGCTCACCTGTGGCTGGCTTTCCTCCATCTATCTTGTCACTCTTCTTTCTCACAGGCTCCTTGGCCACCACGTCATACAGGTCTCGTACCTAAGGCAGCCCCTTTCAGGTCTCAGGGCAGGCTGACAGCCTGCCTCAGCCCAGGAGGGGGAGGGGCCCATTTGGGGTAGGGCTCACCCACAGGGGCAGTTGACAGGGCAGGCCTGGAGTCTGGTGGGTGCCAGGGGCTCTGACCTGATTGGGAGTCACGGCCCGGAGGTTCAGGTTGGGGTAGCGGGTGGCAGGGTCCAGCCCATACTGGGCCACGTTGCGGTGCATGTTGTCTGGGGAGGTCTGTGAGAGGAGCTGGTACAAGCTCTCCCTGGGGGTTAGTGAGGGCAAGGGCAAGGGCACAAGCAGAAGCAAGAATCAGTACCCATCTCTCCAGAGCTACCAGGCCTTTCTTTCTTCTCTTGCCTGTGCCCCCCCATCTATTCACCCAACACCCCCACCTTCTTCCTGATGCTAGTCCTGTTTCTACCCCTGCCCTCCCCACACCCCCAGCTCAGGCCTCACCGCTCTGCCAACACTTCTAGGGGCTCAGCACCCTCTGCCCACCGCTTCACCATCCAGGCGGCATCAAAGGCTGCCAAGAAGCCCCGAGCCACTCCAGTGCCCAGGGGCCAGAAGGGCTGCCGGGTTAGAAAGAAAGAAAACAGTTTAGTGAGAGTCCACTAGGAGTCCCAAGCCCAGGTGCCCCCAAAATCATAGCTGAGGGGGCCCCACATTACACCAAGCAGCCCCCACTCCTTCCCACAAAGAGCACACCTTTTTTACCCTCTCCTTCCCAGGAGGCAATGTTCTTCCCCCCACCGCGGAGCCCCTGCACCTCCTCACAAGGAGTCCCTGCTTCTGGAAGTCCCTCCTCCTCCTCCCACAATCAGGGACTCCTGACCCCTCACCTCCACCAGGCAGTCCCCCACCAGCCCCAGCAGCAGGCGGGCACCGTGCTTCTCCTGCACTCGAGCAGAACTCTCTGCCCGCATCATGCTTGTGAAGTCAAAGGCAGAGATATCAGGCCTCCCGTGGGCATCTTTGGCAAACTCCAGCTTCCCGAGCTTGCCATTGGTGGCGAAGTCAGCAGCTGCCCTGGCAAAGCGCTGCAGAGCCTCGGGGACCACATTGGCATTGCCCAGCAGGCGGTCGGTGTCCTGCCAGTCCTAGAGACAGATCAGAACCAGCAGGGTCAGCTGGGCGGCCCATCCCCTTGGGCAGAGAAGGTGCACACGCTGAGGCCCTAAGGCGGTGCTTCCTCAGACTACATAGCAGGTGAAGGCTGAGCTGGACTAGAAAGTGAACATTCTGCTTCCCATTCTCCAGGCCCTTCCTCAGCACTCACCAAGCCCCACCCTGCCCTCAAGGCCTCGTGCCATTACTGTTACCGTGTATTTGCTCTGGACTGAGTCCTGAACCTCTCAGCCTCAGTTTCCCCATCATTTAGAGATGACATACCTAACCTCTCAAGGTACTTATGAGAATTTAGGTGAGAAAATCCATATAAAGTTCTCAACACAGTACCTAGCACATAGTAGGTTTTCAGCTGGTTCATTCAGCAAATATTTACTGCGAACTGACTACACACCAGGCACCCTTCAAGGCCCTGGGAATCATCAGCAAGCAAAAAGAACAAAGAGAAAAAACCCCCACCCTGATGGAGCTCCATGGCTGGTATAGGGGTTGGGAAGAGGATTCAGGCTGCCATGCAAATCCCAGGGGAGAAGAGCTTGTTGAGGTGGAGAAAATGTCAGGGCAAAGGCAAAAGAGCACAGGCTCCCTCTACACCAGGGCGGGGGACACTGGATCCAGGGCTGGCCTCTACCTCCCAGGGCCCACTGCCCAGCCCCTCCCTGCCTGGGCCCGGGCCCCACCTGACGCAGCACCCCGAGCCGCAGCAGGCACTGCTTCTTGGCTGTCATCACAAAATAGTGGGTGTCATCCTTGTAGTACACAATGTTCTCCAGATCAATGCCTGGTGGGGACAACATAGGGGGAGGAGTGTCTCCTTCTTACTCTGTGTCACCTCTCCCAGCACCCCAGCCATGCTTGTCCTCTGAGAGCTGGGATCACAGCTTAGATTGCAGTGGGTGTCCCCTGCACATGGGCCCATGAGTTCTGGTGGCACGATGGATGGACCATCTGTCCTGGGCCCGAGAGGCCTGAAGACTCGGGAGTAAAGAGAGAAACCTGGATGGGTGGCACCTAGGAGACCTGCACCATGCTTGCAGACAAAAGCCGGGCTTCTCAAACTGGGGCGTGTACACCCCAGGGAGGCAGGGCATTGCAAAGCCAAAGTAAACCTAGAGCATCTTCTTGAAGCACTACTTTCATTTTTAATTTACATCATTTTTATATTAAATCATACATAAAGAGGGGCGCCTGGGTGGTTCAGTAGGTTAAGCATCTGACTTTTGATTTTGGCTTAGGTCCGGATCTCACAGTTGATGAGTTAGAGCCCTGCAGTGGGCTCCGCGCTGACGGCATGGAGCCTGCTTGAGATTCTCTCTCCCTCTCTCTACCCCTCCCCTGCTCATGCTCTCTCTCTCTCAAAAGAAATAGATTAAACTTAAAACAGTAAAAAAAAAAAAAAAATCACATATAATGAAGCACAAAGCAAAACCCCATGCATTTTTGAGAGATTTCCGAGACTCATCATGCTGGTTGGCCAAGTGGGGCTGTGCCTACCGAATCACCTGGGGCACAGGTTCTTTGCTGCCGAGACCACAAAGTCGGAGAGTGTGGGATTACCTGGACTGAGAACAGCTAGGGAGAGGAGGGAGCCAGCCCACAGTCAGCTAGAGGGAGGGGAGATCCTACGAGAGGAGGTCCCAACCTGTGGCTTTGAGCAGGTTCTGGAAGAAGCTCTGGTTGTAGATCCTGGCCACACCGCTGATCTCGGGCACCTGTGTCTCTTCCACTGTGCGCCTGTTCACAAAGTTGACCGTGATGCCAATGGCCAGTTTGCCACGCATTTCCCGCACTGTGAAGCCTAGAAGTGGACACAGTGGGAGAAGGCGGGTATTGGCAAGAGAATGAGGGGTATGAGAGCCTAGAAAGGCCCAGGGGGAGCCCAAGATGCTGACTTCTTTGAGGGAAAGGACTACTCACCTTCAGGGACGAATTTACCTCCAGCAGCAGAGATGAGGACATCAAATTCATAGTTGGCCAGTTGGGGTGAGGGGCTGGGCTGGAGCTGGGCACGCCAGCCACAACCTGGCAGGAGGTGTGAGAGGAGAGAGGTGTGGAATTCTGAAGGGGCCCCTAGAGTCCCAGGACAAGCCAGTGAAACAAATGTGTAAAGTGCTTTGCAGTTTGTGGTTTGGCAAGCAGTGACATACTGTCTATCAAATTACACCATCACAACAGTTGTGGACAAGTAGTTGAGGAAGGACATATTGTACAGATGCTCAAAATGAGGTTCAGTGTGGTTTGCACACTATAGGCCACACTATAGCAAGGGTGACTCGGTTGACTCTTAACCCCATCCTTTTTCTTCCACAGGCCAAAATACCCTTTGCAGATGGGAGTCTTGGGAGAAGAGAAGTACTTACCCTTTTTGGGAGGGGGCTGGAGGCCAATGAAAGTGACACCCCAATGAATTTCTACCCCCAGGAGTAATGCCACTTTCAACAAAAGCAGCTGAAGCTGTCGGATGCCTGGAAGGGAGAGGAGATTTAAGACCAGGGACTCCAAGGCAGCAAACCCCTCCCCCCACCCATGCTCCAGCACTAGTGTTCTGATCAGAGCTAGAGGAGGTCTTAGAGATCACTCAGTTCAATTGCCCATTTTACAGATGAGGAACCTGAGTCCTTCAGGTCACCTGGCTGAAGTGAATCTGTTGCACTCGGCCTCTTGGCCATCCCAGCAGCCCCCCACTGTCTCTAGACCCAGGCTCACCCACCCCTCTAGGCCACCACATGGTGCTCACTGATGTGGTCCAGGGTGCCTGTACAGAAGCGCCCATAGAACTTCTTGGCACCGAGCGCTCTAAGGTCATGGATGGTGAAGGGCCAGAGGTGCAGCACGTTGTGGCGAGAGAACTTGGTGCGCTTCTCCACGAGCACCACACGGGCCCCCAGCAGGGCCAGCTCCACGGCAGCCCGCAACCCACAAGGTCCAGCGCCCACCACCAGGCACTGTGAACACACGGGGCAGTGTGGGCATGGCATCCTGTCTCCCTCTTCTGAACCCCCCCCACCCCCCCCCGCCCCCCCCCCCCCCCCCCCCCGCCCCCGCCAGCAACACGTATCCACCTTGGTGCTGGCGCAGGCCCGGCCCTGCTGGTATTCAGGCTGGTCTGCTCGCTTGTCCAGCTTGGCCCACAGTGACTTGGCACTCCAGTAGTTGAGCTGGGCCTTGATCTTGTGATACTGGGGTAGCCCCCCACCAGGCTCTATCCCTAGGGCCCCGCAGAGCCCCTGGAAGCTGCTCAGCACATCCTGGCACAGCTGGGCCTGTAGGAAGCTCTCGAAGTGGGCGTGTGCTGGATTGGTGGAGGTGGGGGAAGCCATGGAGGCCCCTGAGGCTCCCAGGACAGGAGCCGCTGAGCATAGGCGGGTGGCTGTTGGAGACAAGGAGGGAAGAGAAAGGAAAGAGGCTGGAGGAAGGAAGGAAGGAAAGGATGAGGAGGAGAAGAAAGCATGCTGGTGTCCCCCAGGGGGCGTCTGGGTCCACCCCTAATTGGCTCTGCTCCTCTCTCCCGGCCCACTCCCCATCTGCTCCAGAGACCACTCCCATCCTTCCACTCCAAGTGAAATTTGCCAAATTTGGGAATGGAAAAATCAGCAGCGTTAGGCACAGCGGGCAGGCAGGGAGGCAGGGAATCTCCAGCTCAGCTCCCCTTTCCCCGCAGCCAAGCTCCTCTCCATCTCTGGGGCCTGGAGCAGGAATTCTCATCCTGCCTTGATGAGGCCCTGGCAGCTGGGCGTGGGAGAAATTCTCAGACGTGGAGAGGGCAGGCAGCCCACAGGGAGAGTTCTCCTTGCCGTGCACACAGGGGCAGACCTGAGTCCGCCATCCAGCTGAAGGGCACACCTACTGGCTCATCTCACCCCTGGCCTCCCTGAGTGCCCCTCGATGACCTTAGTGCCACGCTGGGTGTGGGGGTGTGTCTTATGACAGGAACAAAGTTTTCCTCCTTAGCACTCGTGATTGCCTCCCGAAGAGGGGGAGGCAGTGTCTTAATTGCGTAGGTTCCCCCCACCCACACACACACCAAACTACCTCAACAAAGCGCCAGAGGATGTTGCGTCTGACAGGGGTTGAGGGAAGACTAGGTCTGTTTCTGACTCACTGTGGTCAAAATACTTCCCCTGTGACTGGCTGCTGCTCAAGGGGGCCCCTTGGGTGGCTGGGGGGCGACAGCCGGGTTCCCTCCTCCCAGCTTCCTCCCACCAGCATCGAGGCCCCGCCCCACCACCCCACCACCCACCGCACCCTGCGTCCCGGGCGCGCTCTCCCAGGAATCTCCCCAGACAAGGCCTCTCTTTGTCCCCTCTCCCTCGCTCGGGCCCCCACGCAACTTGAAGGACGTCGAGGGGGCCTTCTCACGCTGGGACTGTACGGAGGACGGAGTTGCCCACGGGGAAATTAGGTGGCTTCAGTAGGGACGTGTCCTCAGAGCTGATGCCCTCCCCCGCCCCTCTCGGCCACCCTACCGCTCCCAGCTTGAGCCCAGCGGACCAGGCCGAGGCAGGAGAAGGAGACTAAAGTTACCCGCTACGTGTCACCTGGACGCGGGCGGCCGGAACATAGGGAAAGGCAAAGGTCTCTCTTGCGGGGGTAGGGAAATGAAAGGAGAAAGATCTCAGCGAATGCGTAGAGAGGGGCCACTCAGCCTGCAGACGCCAGGACAAAGGATGTGCGAGGGGCGGAGCAGGGTGGAGGGATGGAGAGGGATGGGTGGGAGCTGGTCCGCTGGCACCAGGGTAGGGTGCCGGGGGTCATCCACGCTCTGGACGGTAAAGTCTGGAGAGGGGCAGCGCAGGGCGGGGGGAGGGGGGGGCCTCCCGGACCCGCCGGGCGGAGTTCCCGAGCGTCCGGGACCGCATTTCCCCGGAAGCGAGCCCCCCCTCCCCCCCGCCCCCCGGCGGGCAGGGGGCACACAGCTGGCGCAGCTGGACAACTTACCGGGCCTCTCGCGAGCCGGAAGGGGCCGCTTCCTGCCCGGCGGGCGTCCCGGACTGGGCGGGTGGGACGGTGGGGGCGGGGGCGGAGGAAGAGGAGGAGTAGGAGACTCGCTGGGAAAGCCGCAGACGCGGGGCGACGCGCCGGCGGCCCAGGGCTGGGGGGTTCGGCGGGGTTTGGGCTTTGGCGCCGGGCGCGCGGCCCGTGAGACTTTATTAGCGCCTCATTAGCATCTCATTACCCCGGGATCCCGGGCCCTGGCGGCCCAGGGCACGCCCACGCCTGCAGGGTGGTGCCCGAGGGCGTGGCGCTGTGGATGCCCTTTTCCGCTTGGGGGTCGGAGACTCGGGCGGGGCTTGCGGGGACTGAGAAGTTCAGGGTCTGCGGCACCCCGCGCCCGAGAGCGCACCGGGGTCTCCACCCCGGTGCCCGCGTCTGCAGAGCTAACCGTTCCGGGCAGGCGAGGCCACCCACCCTTGCGTGGTACCAACTCTGCGAGCCGCTTCTGAGCGCCGGGCGGATAGGGCGCTCGTCCTGGGCGAGAAGTTTGCAGAAGCGGACCGGTCCGTAGGTGGCGCCGGAACGTCTGTGCTCTCTACACCTCTCCTACTAGGAGATCCACGGCCCGGGCGCCACTGTGGGTCCAGGCCGGGGATCCGCCACGCCCGGCGACAACTTCGCCCCTAGTCCCGGGCTGAGGGCCTTGGGCACGGATTAAAGTCCTGGGAACCTGGCAGTCTGCAGCTTCAGCAGCGGCTCGAGAAGTGAGAGGGCCAGAGGGTCTTGGTGGGAAAGCGGGTGTGGTTAGACCACTACTAAGGGGAAACGGGTTTGTGGGCGAGAGGCTAAATCCCCAGTGTTAAAGCAGACTTCGGAGTGAGAACCCACAGAACCGTCAATGCTGAAAAGGGCTTGTGAGTCCTTTGGGATCAACTTCCTCATATTCCTGATAAGGAAACAGGGCTGAATGTGAAGGCACCCAAGGTCGTTTAGCTAATTAATAAAACATCAATTCTCATTTATTGAGCAGCTACTATGAGTGTAACCATAATGTCAGTGATCAAAACAGTCCCATTTTAGTGGAAAAGAAACTGAGGGTCACAGAGATTCTCTGTCCTGCAACATGTTACACAGCAAGTGACAGAGCTAGTATGGGGCCCAGGTGTGTCTGGGCTCCACAGCCGGTGTAGATGCCACATGACAGATGACAGGCTGGCATTGTAAGAAGCTGTTTCCTGTTTAGAGGTAGTGACACACTTACATGGGAAGTACTCACAAAACCGAAATTAATGGGAGGGTCCCTCTCCTTGAGATCCGGGGACCAGAAATAGCTGCCTTCCTCTTTCTTCTCACTCTGCTCTCCTCTGGAAGCTCTCAAAGACCCAGTAAGGCCTGAGGGCTCCCTGCTCTCAGCCTGAGCTGAGATGCAGGCAAGGGAAGGGAGGCAAGGGGAAATGCCTGCTCTCCGCCAAAAGAGGCAGGGAATTCAGCCAGGTCACACTCAGGAAACTAGGGCAGCCTCCCAGCCAGGCCCTTACTAGCTCTTGAGTATGACTCGTTATTTGGCGTGAAATAAATGTGCCAAATTAGACACACCCATATTTAAATACACAGTGTAAAAAGTATTCTGAAGTCCACTATAAATGGGTTTACCAGGCTTTTAGAATCGTCCCACGTCCCTTTTATTAGCAGATGGTAAAAGACTGGCCTCTCCGACTTAGTGTATTTGCAAAGGCCCCACAGGATCTGGCCCTTAATTCAATGGCTTTGCTGTTGCAGCCAAAAAGGATTATATGGCCCTCTGAAGGATAAATGGTAAAATTTGTCTTTAAAAAAGATCACAGAACAATATTGACTTCAGTGCTGAAAATCTGCTGACTTGGAGTTTCACTTTCTGCTAATTAAAGGTACACACTGGAGCATAAAGCAATGGGTAATATACTTACTGACCTGTAATCCAGAAGCTCCGGTCAGATTCCAGCTTTGCTTCACCAGCTTAGTGTGACCTTGAAAAAGTCACCAACCACCATGCTTCAGCCTTATCATTTCTAAATGAAGGCCGTTTAAGTACTCAACCTCCTCAGCTCATTTCAATTCTAAAATGTTGGTGACCCTAAGAAGTGTACAGAGACTAGAAGGCCCAGACGCCAAGCCATGAAGACAGGATCTCTTTCCTCTAATCCATATCGGGTTCTGTGTCCCAGCAATGCCATCCCTCACACTGCAGGTGACGTGTCTCAGCCACCCTGTAATAAGACCTTGCACCTATAGGTCTGTGAGGTCAAACAACACACCCACAGTCCTGGGCCGGGAGCCCAGGCTGAAGTGTGACAGACAGGCAGACACATTTCCTGATGTAAACATAATTATGAGCTGAGTGTGAAGTGTAGAGTGCTGTGCACAGATATGAAAGGGTAGCTTGATTGAAATTAGAGAGTCAGGGAAGGGCTCCCTGAGGAAGTGACACACTGAATTCAGACAGCTGACCAGACATTAGAGTAGGTGCAGAAAACTTTCAAGCCTGAGAAACCACCTGCCTCCAGCCCTAAGGCAGGAAATGGCCGGATGTGTTCGGGGAACAGCAAGGGAACCAGTGGCTGGAAGTGAGAATGGGGAAGGGGCCCAAGAGGAAGCTGCATTTCAGATTTTATTGAGTGCAGTGGGAAACTGAAGGATTGTAGGCAGAGACATGATCATATTTGCCTTAGTAACACAACATCCATTCACTTAGAGAGACACTCTGCTAAAGGCACAACAGAGAGCCCACATAGATCACCGCCACTTCCAGTGGAGAGAGCGGTGGAGGGGGAGGGGCAGAAAGGGTCAGTGAGGCCTTGGCAGGAACCCAGGCAAGAAGAGGGGATAGGACAACGGGGAGATGGGAGCAGTGGATGGATTCAAACTATAGCTTGAGGTGAAGGGGACATATTGTGGGGATGGATCTGACACGGCAGGTGAGGAGGCCCTATCAAGATTGGCTTCCAGCTTTCTCTCAGCTGAGAAGAGTGACTGAACCAGAAATGATTGGGCCCCTCATTCTTTTCTACTCTTCCCTGCAAATTTATTCCTCTACATGCAGCTTCCTCTTCCGGTACTGTCTCCAGAGGTGAAAACATGCTGATTTCACAGGCCAAGACAACATGGAGACAAAGGTTAAAAGCACAACTGGGCCCAGGATTAAATACTTTCCTGTGTTTTTGTTAATGAGCACTTTTATACTTCAAACACTAAGATTGTAGATAAAACTTGTCCAGAAGCCATTTAATCATGAGAGGGAGATTTTAAGAATGTGGAGTTTTGTTTTTAACTCCCAGTTTAGCCTAAAGGAAGCTTCAGTTTAACCCTGCATCTACCAAGGATAAAAATAACCTGAACTAAAACCAAAAGCCAAACTATTCTTTTGGAATAACTTCAAATCTGTATTTTAAATGGTCCAATGGATATGAAGATATTAATCTGTGGATACTAAAATTCGAAATAGATAATAAATCCATACTCTAAGACCAACAAAGTTAGTTTCCTGACTTGACCTCTGCTCAAATTTTTCCCTCTTTCTACATGTCATATTGGATATAGTAGTACTTCTCAGATGTTAAGAAAAAGACTATGATCTCTTGCTAATGTTACCTAAAATGTGTTCAAGTTCCTACATTTTGTGTTGAAAATATGACTGAATGAACTTTAGTTTAAAAACTCTCTCAGTGTGGTACACTTAAGGTGAGGATGATTTTATACATACAGTGCGTGTATATATGTACATACTTTGTATATACTTTATATATATATATATATATATGTAAATATGTATTATAGCCAACAAAAGCGTGTTGCTTAATTACGTGGGAAAAAATTGAAAGCTACATAAACTATCACAGTGACATTCCTGTTTCTTTTAGAGGTCATTCCTTGACACCTGCCGTTTACAAAAGGCAAGGGGGATTTTTTAGAGGTCACTCCTCCAAGCCTGCTGTTTACAAAAGTAAAACCAAGAGCTTTCTTTCAGTTCTTAAGAATTTAGGCTTATTTTAGGAGGCCCTGGGTGGTTCAGTCAGTTATACGTCTGACTCTTGACTTTGGCTCAGGTCACCATCTCACAAGATTGAGCCCTACGTTGGCCTCTGTGCTGACAGTGCAGAGCCTGCTTGAGATTCTTTATCTCCCATTCTCTGTTCTTCCCCCACTTGTGTGCGTGCTCTCAAAATAAGATTTAAAAACAGTTAGTCTTATTTTAGTCTGAAAAGTGAGGATGATAATTCACCTCAATACTTACAAATAAGGGTAGCAAAAACAAGGGTAGTCAAACAAGTCTGCCCTAAACATAAACTATCCTTAGGAGTTTGAAAAAAGGGCTCACAAAGGCTCATGTTAGTTAAGACATTTTCACATCAGCAGTAATTTTCATTGAATTAGTAAATTTCTATTAAGTTTTTAAATCAATAGTGGTAAAATACTAGTATGAATATTAATGCGGTAGTCATCGTTTCTACAGGAGAAAGACTATATACTTTTATATATATTATATTTTACAATTATTGTTTTATGTAAAAAGTTTGATCATGTGCTACAATGTCAGACACAGATCAATTTTTTAAAAGTAAGTTCTACGTCCAATCTGGGGCTTGAACTCAAACCCCAAGATCAGGAGTCGTATGCTCTACCGACTGAGCCTGCCAGGGGCACCAGATCCTCAATTTTAGCCAAAAATCTTCTATTACATCAAGCAGACCGTATGTAAAGACAAACCCAGCTTGAAGCTTCAAAAGACTGGTGGTAGTAAGCCCATCTGGTGGCAGCAGCATAGTGGGACCAGCTGGCCCTGTGCAGCAGTTCTGGCTTTGACAGTTACTATGTGACCTTGGGCAATGGACTTCATCTGTTTGGGTCTCTATGTTCTTGTCTGTAAAATAGGCATAATATTACTTACCTCATACGAATGTCCTGAAGATTAAGTAAATTAAGACTTTTGCTCCAGACACTGCTCATTCCAGGTGCCAGTTATTTGGGGCTGAATTGCATCCCCCACCAAATTCATGTTGATGTCCTAACTCCCAGAACCTCAGAATGTGACTGTGTTTGGAAATAGGGCCTTTAATGAAGTAACTAAGTGAAAATGTGGTCACTAGGATTAGGGTGGGCCCTAATCCAATACTGACTGATGTCCTTGTAAGATTAGGACAAAACACACAGAGGGAAGATCATGCAAAGACAGGGAGCAAAAGATAGTCAGGAGGCCTCAGAAGAAACCAACCCTGCAGGCACCTTGATCTTGGACTTTCAGCCTCCAGAACTGAGAAAATAAGATCTCTGCTGCTTAAAGCACCCAGACTATGGTATTTGTAATGGCAGCCCCAGCAAGCAAATATGCCAGTCCTGGTCAGCGGGGACTGGAGTCCCCTAATGACAGGGCAGGGCAGAGATCCTACTTTGTGCACCGCGACACAAAAGATAGTTGAGGAGCACTAAGATACAGACCTAACACACTTGGCTTCACTCCTGCCTATAGGATAAAGACTCAATATGTAGCAGATATTATTATCCAATTTATGAAAACCTACATGTAAGCATCTGTGAGGGGAACACCATTATATTCTTCAGCATTATGGAACCGCTGCTCACCACATTTAGAACACAGGAACCGACTGCAGGAAACAGAACAGAGGTAGAAAGAGGTTTGGGGCACCTGGGTGGCTTAGTCAGTTAAGCGTCCGACTTTGGCTCAGGTCATGATCTCACGGTCTGTGGGTTCGACTCCTGCACCGGACTCTGTGCTGACAGCTCAGAGCCTGGAGCCTGTCTCAAATTCTGCATCTTCCTCCCTCTCTGCTCCTCCTCCACTCACACTCTGTCTCTGTCTCTCAAAAGTAAATAAACATTAAAAAAAAAAAAAAAGAGGTTCAAGAAGCAGACACAAGCACAGGAATAAATACCTTATTTTGATGGCAATGGCTCAAGTCTTCCCAAAGCTAGCCCTCTACTCAGAGAAAACCAGAGATTCACTTTTGAAAGCGATAAGGTACATTTCAATGGCCCAAAGCATGATATTCTATTTCCTAAGTACACTTTGCATTTCTGCACTTGTTAAAACAATTTAAAAAACTGTACAAGTTTAGTAGAAAATAAGTTGTGAAACACCGAGCCAAATATTTCTCAAACACACAACAGAGACATTTTTACGTACGTGACATTTCCTTTGGGTACAGAGTCACTGAACTTTAGAATTTGGGGTTTCACAGGGCAGAATGTGTATTTGGGACACCGAAGAGAAGCGAGATGTATCAAGCTATCATTCTCTCCTTTTCCCGCTGACAGCCAGGTGAATAAACCAGAACTCTTCCAGAAGATATTTTTATGGCTGAAACTGGCTCACAAGTTGGAAGCAGGTAGGCCTGTGCCAGGCAGGACAGCAGCCACCAGTCACATGTGGCTACTGAGAACTTGTAACGTGGCCAGTGTGTCTAAGGAACTTCTGGCGGTGGGTTTTTTTGTTTGTTTTCTGAGTAATTGCTATGCCCAGTGTGGGGCTTGAACTCATGACCCTGAGATCAAGAGTCGCATGCTCTTCTGACTGAGCCAGCCAGGTGCCCCAGGTTTTAAAATAAATTCAAACTGATAATCACTCCAGTTACTGAAAAAATATTATGTGTGCAACTACCTGTATGTTAGTCTAGGTTTTCAACTGTAAATCATATGAATTCTAAACACAGGTCAAGTATGTCCAAGAATATTAGCATTCAAATGGAGTGTATACTAGACTTTGAAGGCTTAACATGCAAAAAAGAATCGGAAATATCTTATTAATATATTTTTATATTGATGGCAGGTTGAAATGATATTTGGCAAATGTTGGATTAAATAAATTTTATTCAAATCAATTTCACCTTTGTTTTTAATGTGGCTACGAGAAAATTTAAAATTATATGTGGCCCACACTGTATTTCTCCTAGTGCAGAGGTAGACTGTCATAAAGCTAGTTAAACTGACTTGTGTGACTTTATTTCCTGAAGAATTCTCCAGCTCTCCAGAGTGAGTAGTTAAAAGTCCATTTATATTAATACTGTGTAGGGCCTGGAGAAAATGTGGGCCAGTAAGCTTTGAAGCGCTGGCAAAAACTTTGCATTTTAAGAATAACGTTAAAGTAGTTTAAATGACTAAGAGCCTGAAATAATATTTGGGTCATAACTGTATTTGTAAAAATTGTATCTTGGCTCTAGTCAGGCCTGACTTAAACACTGCTTTGGCTGATACTTGTAAGATATACATCATTTTAGAAATTTTGTGACTTACATATAATAAAATATAGTTTGGCAAATATGTAAAAAAAAAAAAAAAAAAGCTTTCATCTTCTCTCAAAACTAAAGAATTCCATTACTTTAACTTCTAAAAAACTTTCTTGATTCAGGTGGAAATCAAACAAAGATGTCTACAGTGAGAAATAAGTAACAGATAGAAAGATCCTGTTAAGGGATGTCCACTCTCACCACTGTTGTTTAACATAGTGCTGGAAGTCCTAGCATCAGCCATCAGACAACAAAAGGAAATCAAAGGCATCAGAATTGGCAAAGAGGAAGTCAAACTTTCACTCTTCGCAGATGACATGATACTCTACATAGAAAACCCGACAGACTCCACCAGAAGCCTACTAGAACTGATCCAAGAATTCAGCCAAGTTGCAGGGTACAAAATCAACGTACAGAAATCGGTTGCATTTTTATACACCAATAATGAAGCAACAGAAAGAGAAATCAAGAAACTGATCCCATTCACAATTGCACAAAAAACCATAAAATACCTCGGAATAAACCTAACCAAGGATACAAGAGATCTGTATGATGAAAACTATAGAAAACTTATGAAGGAAATTGAAGAAGACACAAAGAAATGGAAAAACATTCCATGCTCATGGATAGGAAGAATAAATATAGTTAAGATGTCATTACTACCTAAAGCACTCTACACATTCAATGCAATTCCAATCAAAATTGCACCAGCATACTTCTCAAAACTAGAACAAACTATCCAAAAATTTGTATGGAACCACAAAAGACCCCGAATAGCCAAAGTAATACTGAAAAATAAAACCAAAACGGGAGGTATCACCATCCCAGACTTCAGCCTCTACTACAAAGCTGTCATCCTCAAGACAGTATGGTATTGGCACAAAAACAGACACATAGACCAATGGAACAGAATTGAGAACTCAGAAGTGGACCCAAAAGTATACAGCCAACTGATCTTTGACAAAGCAGGAAAGAATATCCAATGGAAAAAAGACAGCCTTTTTAACAGATGGTGTTGGGAGAACTGGACAGCAACATGCAGAAGAATGAAACTAGATCATTTTCTCACACCATGCACAAAAATCAACTCAAAATGGATAAAGGACCTGAACGTGAGACAGGAAACTATCAACACCCTAGAGGAGAAAGCAGGAAACAACCTCCTTGACCTCCACCGCAGCAACTTCTTACTTGACACATCCCCAAAAGCAAGGGAATCAAGAGCAAAAATAAACTGTTGGGACCTCATCAAGATTAAAAGCTTCTGCACAGCCAAGGAAACAACCCAGAAAATTAATAGGCAACCAACGGAATGGGAAAAGATAGTTGCAAATGACATATCAGATAAAGGGTTAATATCCAGAATCTATAAGGAACTCACCAAACTACACGCCCGAAAAACAAACAACCCAGTGAAGAAATGGGCAGAAGACATGAACAGACACTTCTCCAAAGAGGACATCCAGATGGCCAACAGACACATGAAACGATGCTCAGCATCCCTCCTCATCAGGGAAATACAAATCAAAACCACACTGAGATACCACCTCACGCCAGTCAGAGTGGCTAAAATGAGCAAATCAGAGAACTCTAGATGCTGGCGAGGATGTGGAGAAACGGGCACCCTCCTACACTGTTGGTGGGAATGTAAACTGGTACAGCCCCTCTGGAAAACAGTGTGGAGGTTCCTCAGGAAACTAACAATAGAACTCCCTTATGACCCAGCAATAGCACTGCTAGGAATTTACCCAAGGGATACAGAAATGCTGAGGCATAGGAGCACATGTACCCCAATGTTCATAGCAGCACTCTCCACAATAGCTAAAACATGGAAAGAGCCTAAGTGTCCATCAACAGATGAATGGATCAAGAAGATGTGGTTTATCTATACCATGGAATACTACATGGCAATGAGAAACAATGAAATCTGGCCATGTGTAGCAACATGGATGGACCTTGAGGGTGTTATGCTGAGCGAAATAAGTCAGGCAGAGAAGGACAAATACCATATGTTTGCACGTATAGGAGGATTAGGAGGAACTTGACGGAGGAACAAGGGGGAGAAGAAGGGCGGAAATGGTGGGGGAAAGGGAGAGAGGCAAACCATGAGAGACTCTTGAATGCTGACAAAAACTGAGGACTGATGGATGTGGGGGGGAGGGGGGGATGGGCATGGAGGAGGGCACTTTGGGGATGAGCACTGAGTGTTATGTAGAAACTAATTTGACAATAAACTATTTGTAAAAAAAAAAAAAAAAAAAAAAAAAGAAAGATCCTGTTAATTTTAGGGTAGATTACCCCTATGCACCACCAGCATTATGTCAACTTGGATAGATTAGTGCCCATCCTCTGCTCTCCAAAACCCTCTACCGGTTTACTTGAGAGAAAGAAATCAAACTCTTTACTGTGTTGGGCTTGAAAACCCAACCCAAACATAATTTCAACTTTTGACAATTATTTAAAACCGTACAACAATTATAGACTGGCTACTATGGTTCAGAGGCTCAAAAAAATTTTTTTTAATGAGAAGATATTTACTTTTTAAAATGATGCGTCCATTTTATGAGATTTAACTTACTCTGCAATAAAAATAGATTATAAGGTCCCATCTCTACAAAATTATCATACATAATACACAGATCATTTTCAGGATCAATTAGAATTCAGGAGAGTATATTTGACATTTAAAATACACTGAATAAAATTCTATATTCCAGGATAACTGAGAAAGCTTTAACTTCATCAGAAAGAACAATTATCACTGCTGACAAAAATCTGGAATTTATGGGCTGACTGTCTTGATCCCAGTTCCACTCTTTAATTAGACTTTTAAATTAAATTTTCAATAGCCTGCTTTTAAAAAAATATGTAACCCCCCCAAAAATATGTAAATCCATGTTTCTCAGAAAAATTGAGTTCAGAATTTTTAAAATAATCCTGTACTTTTTGGCTTTCTTGTTATATTCATTTTGAGTTAAAATAGACTCTTAGTTTACATGTCTCTGAATCATAAAGAGCCCACTGTACCACACAGAGATGAAATGCTGAGTTACTCTGTTTTATGGGATTAGAAGGTATTAAAAGGGCAGATTCTCCAAAGTTGTTATCTGTCACATTCAGCCCTGACTTGTCTTATACAAGCGATGGTATTACCTAAGAGAAATAAAGAAACCACTCTACCCAACTCAGCCAACATATGACCTCCTTTTTTCTAAAAAATCTAACTGGGAAGGTCAGCAAGGCCCTAAGCTGTGGACATGAACATTCATGACTTAGAGAGGTCTAAATCAATGCCCCCAAATAAAAATCATCCAAGACCGTAAGAGATGTAGATAAAGACGAAAACCATTCCTCAATGACGAATGCTAACTCCAAACTGGACTACACACAAGGTATGAAACACACATGTCTTGTTGCCTGGATGGAAAGCATTAGAACTAGCAGCTGGCCATCATATCTCTGGAAGGATCTGGCTTACTGGGAAGAGACCGACAAGTCACACATGTTCACAGGTCAGCTCTGCTCCTGGCTGAGTGGTGGGGGCGGGGGCACATGGTGAGTGGGTGGCGGGGGAGCAGGCTCCGTCAGCTGCAGGTGTTGAGCCGGATCTGAAGCACTTGCTAAGTGGAGCTCCCCTGTTTGCTCTTGATGGGCGTGGAGATGTTCCAGGGTTTCCTTGGAGAGTGTGATTACGTGCACCGGCTCAGCCTGTGAAGGCTCCATCTGGCTCTCAATCATATTGAGGCCCTGAATGTGTTCCGTTTGCTCCTGTTGGGCTGAAAGAATTAAATTCTGTAGTTGTTCTGGCTGCTGTGTGAGCAGTGTGAGATTAGCAGCCTGGTCTGCGGTCATATTCTGAGAACTCTCTGCGGTGACAATGCTGATTCCTTGGCTAGGCCCAGGCATGAAGTTGATGTTATGTACAGAATTGGTCACAAGAAGCTGGATTTCCTGCTCTCCTGATGCAGAGAGCTGATAGGGCTGCAGCTGAAGGATATTCCTGACCTCTTCAGTGTTGTTACTGCCAGCCACGCCGCTGCCATCTGACGCAGGTTTCTCTTTGCTGTGGATTTTCAAGTGAGCCTTCAAGTTGTCTAAGCGAGCGAACTGTAAGTTGCACTCAGGGCAGGAGAAAGGCTTTTTGCCCGTGTGCAGAATGCAGTGTCTCCTCTTGGCACTGGAGTCAGAGAAGGATTTGCCACATATGCCACAGGAGTATGGCTTTTCTCCTCTGTAAGAAAATACACACTGTATCTTAAAAACAGATCTGTCTGTTACTTCCTGATAAGGAGAAGAAGTCAAGAAGAGAGGAAAAATTAACTCGACTGGGAATCATAAGTCATGGGTTCTTCTACTAACTTAAGGAGTCAGAGCAAGTCCCAACTTGCATGGGTTTTAGTTTCTAATCCTAAAAGAAGAGGAAAGGGTGGAGGTGGTATCTGAGTAAGGGTGGTGGATGGGGCTGGGTTAGATGTAATAAAATTTTATGATTCCATAGTCTGTATTTCAGATAAGAAAGCAAATATTTATATATCACACATAAAGTTCCTTTCTGTTTTTAGTTCTCATTGCCAACTTTATTTCTTTTTTAAAGATTTTAAATTTTAAGTCATCGCTATATCCCACGTGGGGCTTGAACTCACGATCCCGAGAACAAGAGTCCCATGCTCCACGGACTGAGACAACCAGACATCCCCTCATTGGCAATTTTCAGACTCTTGTGGCCAATTAAGTATATATAGATGGACTTCAATTAAGTATATATGATGGATTTCACTATTAAAAACTTGAGTAACCCTTGTCTTAGAAGAACTACTAAATCAAATCTGGAAGCTGTGTGAACAAAAACGTTTATTCAGAAAACAATAAATTTAATTATTTACTTTTGACTGAAGAATTTAAGCTTTGGATCAGTCCCCAGCCCAAAAATAAAAGTTCAAGAAATGAAATCAAACGTGCAGACTTTTGCTGGCCAGAGCCAGTTTTCCCGATTTTTGCCTAAGTGGGGCAAAAATTGAAAAGATAACAGTAAACTACACAGAAGGTTCTACCTGTGTAATAATCTGGGGAAAAGGACTGTACAGGTAACATACGTCACCCGACTGAACGCCAGGGTTGAATGAGGACTCCCATATGAGAAAAATATCTGCAAAACTTTACCTGTGGATTCTGATGTGGGTCTGAAGAGAACTCTTTGCTGTGAAAGATTTGCCACAGATTTCACAAGTAAATGGCTTCTCACCTAAAAACAGGAAAGCATTTAGAAATATACATCCAACATGAAGCAAAAAGGAATAATCACCCCCACAGTTTCACCATATAAAGAAAAAAAAGGCGATACCACTTGATTCCTCAACGAGCATGAAGGAATTAAGCCCTTACCAAGCACCTACTCCATACCTGAGCACCGTGTGCTAAGAGCCAAGAGGATGCAGAGCGAGTGTAAGATAGTTTCCTTTTCTTACAAAGGGAAACAAGGAGGTACGTGATCACACACGGGAAACAAGAGGACTCACCACAGTTACTCCTGTACGGTCCCACCCTGAGATCACGCACAACTGTCACGCCTTCCTGCTCCGTCAGGTAGCCCTGCTGACCTCCCTAAGGACCCCGGTCCTCTACGGTGGCTTACGTACTATCGACATTTCTACCTACCTTCCAGCGTATCCAGAATCTGACCACCTGTCACACCTCCACCGCCACCCCCAGTCCAGGCCCAGGACTGTCTCTGCGGCAGCCGCACAGGTCTCCCCGCTTCTCTCCAGCTTCCCTGCTGCCCCCAAGTGCGGGGACCACAGTGACCCTGCCGGCAGTCAGATCATTTCACACGTCTGCTGCAAACACTCCAAAGGCTGCCGGCTCCCATCGGGGGATAAAGCCAAAGCCCCAGGGCCAGGAGGCATCCCAGATGGGTCGCCACACTCGGTCCTTACCCCTAAACCTCTCTGACCTCACCAGGTACTCTCCCTTTGCTCGCTGCTCGGGTCCCAGGCATGCTGGACACACCCTGAGCAAGTGAGCGAGCGCCACGCAGGGCTCCAGCTCCCACCAGGCATCCCCCAGCATGGCTCCCCTCAGGGCCTCTATCCCTCTGCACTGCCTTCAAGTCCCTGCTCAAACGACATTTACCAGGAAGGAGACTTCCTCACCACCGAAAGCACTGTCCCCTACCCCTAACACTCCTTAGTCCCCTCCTCCGAATCAGTTTTCCCACGATGCTAACCCCACCTTACACACTGTACTTGCCATTTATTACCAGTCTCTCCCATTTTTAGGAGGAGAATTTGTGGGCTTGTCCACTCCTAGTACTCTAGTGCCCAGAATCAGGCCTGGCACACTGTTCCAGAAATCCCTGACGAATGAATGAATTTCACAGGGTGGAAACGAAGGCCCACCCATGACCGGTGCAGGCTCCCAGAGGAACTCCACAAAGCTTCAAGAGCATTTATTCAGTGTTAGACTGTACGCTGCACATACTACCAACAGACTGCCCCGTCCTCCAGAAACAAAATTCAGTGGTCCTAATGCAGGCAAGGGAACTATGAATTTAAAGAAAAGCAAGAACAAAATCCCATTGAAGTAGGTAGCAGCAATGGATAGGGCACTCTGAAGTGGAGGTCAGCCAGGGAGCCTCCCTTCCACAGCCTCTACTGGAAAATGCATGCGACACATTTCTCTGAGCTCCATCAGGGCAGAGGACACTTGTGCCAGCTTGGGTGAATCTGCATCTTTGCATGATCACCTCTCACCAATCCAAAGCCAGGCCACTGCCATTCTTTCCATAGCTTCCCAAACCAGAATCAGGGCCCACACTGTTTGCAGTTTGTTTCCAGATTCAAAGACTGACTACCTGCTTGTCATGGAAAGTTCTGTGTGGGAAACATTAACAATGTTCACACTACCGTTCAATGCCATCTGGGTTTACAAAATCTCAGAAAGTCCTTCTATTGCCTGTTTTAAACAATGGAAATTCTTTTTTTTTTTTTTTTTTTAACATGTATTTATTTTTGAGAGAGAGAAAGAGAGACATAGCAAAAAGTGGGGAAGGGGCAGAGAGAGAGAGACAGAGACACAGAATCAGAAGCAGGCTCCAGGCTCTGAGCTGTCAGCATGGAGTCCAATGTGGGGCTCCAACTCACCAACTGTGCGATCATGACCTGAGCCAAAGTCAGATGCTTAACCGACTGAGCCACCCAGGTGCCCCTAAACAATGGAAATTCTTTCTAGGAACATACGGTCCTTCAGAATATATCCGGACTGGACCACCTATGACCACGTCCACTGCTACCACACACTGCTAGCCCCTGATTAGTACAGCAGCCTCCTAATGGGTCTCTCCACCCTGTCTCTCCCCACAGAGAAGCCGGAATGATACTATTAAAATTTTAAGGCACCTCCTATCCCTGCTCTTGTTAAAGTCCTCAAGCTCAGAGTAAAATCCAGTCTTCACCGTGGCCTCCAACATTCTGAAACCTGAGTGCACACACTAGAATCACTGAGGAAACTTTTACAAATAGGTCCAAGGCTCTACCCCAGGTCAGTTCAGTCAGAATCTCTGGGGTTGGGACCAGGCTTTTTCTTTTTTAAAGCTTCTCAGGTGACTGAAGTATGCAGCTAGGCTGAGGAGCCCTGTGTTATACAAACTCGTTGCCTCTGCTATCCACCTACCCAAGCCCTCCTACCTCTACTGCCCTGGCTTGGCCTCAGTCACAACTGCCTCCTGGCATTTCTCTGGCAAGCTGGAAACCGTTATGTTTCAGGGCTTTGCACCTGCCATTCCCTCTGCCTGTGATGCTCCTCTCCTGGACAGCTACAATGACTGGCTCGCTCGCCATAGCATTCAAAACAAATGTTTTTTTTTTTTCTTTTTAAAGCCTATTTATTTAAACAATCTCTACACCCAATGGGGGTCTTGAACTCATGACCTCGAGATCAAGAGCCGCATGCTCTACAGACTGAGCTGGCCAGGTGCTCCTGCTCCCCAGAGCATTTAGATTATCTATCCAAGGTGTCCCCTCATCAGTGAGGCCTTCCCACACAAGTCCTCATGTAAAAGGGCAGCTTACCTTCCCATGTCATGCCTCCTTACCCTGCATTTAGCTCTTCACAGCACTGAGCCCCACCTAACATGTTATGTAGTCATTTATTCTCTGTCTTCCTGGGTCAAATGGTAGCCCCTCAACAGCAGGGGGTCTGGCCACCCCATTCACTGATGTTTCCTCAGGGCCTAGGTAGTGCCTAGGTACCCAGTGCCTGTTCTGTAAATATGTCTTAAATGAGTGAATTAAATTTCACAGAACCTGTTCAAGCTAACCATCTATAGTAAGAATGTATAGAGATCCATTTCCACAGAATGCCTACCCCATGAGATACTTATTTTAAGAAAACAAATTAAGGAGAAACTCTTTGTGTTTGGAGAAGAAAATGTCCAAAGCAGCATAAACCAATCTGATACACGTGCCCTGTTCCATCCTGCCTCCTCTTTATCCCTGGAGCGGATTTTCCCAGAGGTGGCGATGCTTACGATGCTTACGTTATAACCACTGGTGCTGGGGGAGGAAATGGAAGACGCTCACGCCCATGCTACCTTTGTGTTTGTTTCATTTTGCTTCCTTTTCTAAAAAATAAAAATGATCTCCGTCATCTCCCAGGCTGAAGTACACTAAGAGTGAAACACAGAACCAGACTCAGACTTGTAAGCCACCTCAAAGTGGATTCCGCACAGAATGGTGTTGACAGCCTTCCGCCTTGGACTTTTAGATGACATCATAAAATTCCCATCCAATTTATAATAAATGGTGCCTGTGGAGGGAGACTCGACCTCACTCTCCTAAAAGCATGAAGTGCACCAGAGAGAATGGACGAGACGGCAGTTTTACCTGTGTGTGTTCGTAGATGTTTCTTTAGCTGAGACACATCCATGAATTTGCGATGGCAATGGCTGCATTCCGGTAATGAGTGGCCTTGTCGCAACAATAAAAAAAGTGTCAGTGCATATATGCGCTCTCTCCCTGCATTTCTTCAGTGATTTGTGTTAAAGCACTTCCCTGAAAAATAATCACTTTAAATATGGTACTTTAATAAAACAACAGTAATTTTGTTACTAATTTGGTAACAGTTAATATTTTCCTATGTACCTCAACTCACTGCTTGGGACAGCTGGGATTCTTCGGTTCTCCCTCAACATAATCTCTTTCTTCCCTGGAAAATATCGGTGTGACTGTGGCCAACCGATCTCAAATGTCGCTCTCAACCCCTCATTCATTTCTTATCAGTTGAGAGGAAAAAAAGGCAATGGACAGAGCTAGGCAGGAGAGGGCCTGGACGGACAGCTATGGGGTAAGGAAGCTTCTGTCTAGGCACCACTAAAAACCAGTCAACTGGCACCCTCGTAGGCAAGTGGCACTTCTGAAAGATGTCCATTCTGTTGTGTTTCTGTGTGTGGCACCAAAACTGTAGTACAAAAAATTTTAAAAATAAATCCCAAGGTAGTGAGAAGAACACAAGGAAAGGACATCTAATTTAGATCGCTTTTTAAGATTCTTTCCCTACATACGAATTCATCTTCCACTAGTGGACCCTGGGGTTTCAGAAGTAATTTGTATTTGCATTTCTCTCCAATCAATCAAAATCCAAATTTTCTCTCACTTTATTGTACCTGTATGAACTCGATAATGGCTCTTTAGTTGTCTTTTCTGGCTAAAATACTTTCCACACTGATCACAGGTAAAAGACTTCTGTCCTGCCAAATAAAAAAACAAAGACACTAAAACATGCATAAACTGTAAAGAATTAGAATGCTCACTGATAAAGTAAGTAGCACAGTGGGCCCAGGTCCCCATTTTCTATGAATGATACAAGTGGACTTGCCTACCAACCCAAATGCCTTCAGAGTCCACCACAGGAACAGAAATGTGCAAAGGTATATAAGGCAATAGGGAGTGGTGGAGACTGGGGTAGAAGTGGAACGCTCAAGCTTCCCCCAAAGTTGCCAAATTCTAAATTCTGGGGGTTAAACAAATGTCTGCACATTGAGCCCCCGACAGCCAGTTTATAAGCCCTAGTTTTAAGACTCAATGCTGTGCAGAATTTTTTTTTTTTTGATGTTTTATTTATTTCTAGGAGAGAGAGAGAGACAGTGTGAGCAGGGGAGGGTCAGAGAGAGAGGGAGTCACAGACTCTGAAACAGGCTCCAGGCTCTGAGCTGGCAGTCAGCACAGAGCCCGATGTGGGGCTCGAACCCACGAACTGCGAGATCATGACCCAAGTGAAAGTCGGACACTTAACCGACTAAGCCACCCAGGCACCCCAATGCTGTGCAGAATTTTAAACTACGGTCTGGCAAAGGCACAATTCTGTTGTTCATTGACACTGGGGGGGGGGGGGAGGGAGGTGACACCAGGCTGAAAAAAGCCTTTTTTGATCATGGTAACGCCCACCCCAGAACCCGGTGGCAAGTGGCCCTGTGGCGCTCCCCCAGCTACCTGAATGCAGGCTCATGTGCTCCAGCAGCGAGTGCTTGGTGGTGAGAGCCTTGCTGCACACAGTGCAGGTGTAGGGCCGCTCACCGGTGTGCATCCGGGTGTGGACCTGCAGGGAGTGCTTCTGGGCAAAGCCTTTTCCACACTCATTACACTTGAAAGGCCGCTCCCCTGGAATAAGAGCCCCAGAAATACAGGGTAAGCAAGGATATGCACATCTTTCTGTTTCCTCCTAAATTAAAATGACAATAAAGGGATTTCTCTTTAGGGCGTACAATCAAAAGGCCCAGGAACTAGAGAGAAAACATCAGCAATGACCTCTGGCAAGCCGGAACAGACGAACCCAATGCCAGCAGTCAGAAGGGCTGAGACACAGTCTAAGACACAGCCTCCACAACGCTCAGGAATTGGCGGCCCAAGTGATCTCTGAAGATGCGGGTGAGGACCAACGACAGTCTGTTTCAAAGGTACTAGACCCCCTAGAGGACTGGCCAGCTCCCCAACAAAGGCCAGAGACTGTGCTCTGGAGAGGGTAAAACAGTCTCCGGGCTGTGGGTCTCCAGGCACAGTGGAACGGGACTGTCCCAGGGACAGTAAGTCCAAGTTTACTTTTGGAGTGATGAGGCTGTGCCCAGCCTTCTTCTCTGCTCCTGCTCTAGACAGGAATGTCTTCTGGAATGTGGTGGGCCAGGGTGGGAGGGCTGCAGATGCGATGCCAGGTGACAGTGAAGAGGTGGGGTGCAGCCACGCCCCCCCATTTCCCTCCCCCGTGAGGCCGTCATCTACAGGCCTTCTCCAGAACTAAGGTAACTTACAGTCAACTGTTCCAACATAGGATTAAATATGACTTCTAATTAATTAATTATTTAATTTTATTGATTGATTTTTGAAAGGCAGAAAGTGTGAGCAGAGGAGGCACAGAGAGAGAGAAAGGGAGAGAGAAAATCCCAAGCAGGCCCCTCACTGTCAGTGCAGAGTCCGACCTAGGGGCTCAAACTCATGAATTCTGAGATCGTGACCTAAGCCGAAACCAAGAGTCGGATGCTTAACCGACTGAGCCACCCACACACCCCAAATATGATTTTTAAAAACCCACCATTCAGGAAAGGCCTTAGTAGCTGAAACAGATACCAAAATAAATAAGAAAAAAAAGCAACTTGCAAAAAACAGAAGTTGCCCAAGGGGAAGAAAACATTAAAAACTAGTAAACAAGAGGCTGATGTTATTAATGTGGTCACCATGAACCAAAAAGACGATTCACGATAATAATTTTAAAAAAGGGGGCGCCTGGGTGGCTCAGTCAGTTAAGTGGCAGAGTTCAGCTCAGGTCATGATCTCAGTTCATGAGTTCGAGCCTCACATTGGGCTCTGTGCTGACAGCTCAGAACCTGGAGCCTGCTTGGGATTCTGTGTCTCCCTCTCTCTCTGCCCCTCCCCAACTTGCGCTCTGTCTCTCAAAAGTAAACATTTAAAAAAATGTTTTAAAAAGGAATTTAGAGAATAAAAAGGGGCTTCTAGAAGTAAAACAGTAGAAATAAATCTTTAAGTGTTGAAAGATAAAAGGGAAATCTCTCAGAAAGTAGAGCCAATAGTGATGGGAAATAGGAGATAAAGACATTGGAGGATGGGTCTGGAGGTTCAACATCCAGACACCAGGGAGTTCCAGAAAGAGAGAGCTCAGAAAACCGATAGGAGAAATCATTCCTGAAATACTTTCCAAGAATTTTCTGGAATTGAAAGACAGAGTTTCCAAACTGTATGGATCTACTGTTAGCCACCGAAATGGACAAAGACAGACACACATGCAAGTGATTCACTGCAAAATTTCAGAACACTGGGTGCAAGAGGGAAGATCCTACATGCTGTTCTCCTTAACAAATCTTACAGAACTATTTAACTCTTTAAACTAGCCTCTATTACAGTTTAACAAATATTTCCGAAATGTCTACCTTGTTTAAAGAACCAGATTTCAAGGTTTTCAATCTATCCTTCAAACCAAGGCTCCAATTAAATCAGAAGCTTTAGGGCTGGTGCCCAGTCACTGATACATGATTGTAATGTGTGGCCCAGTCACACTAGATGATTCTAATGTGTGGCCCGGGAGCACCTGGGTGCCTCAGTTGGTTAAGCGTCAGACTTCGGTCTAGGTCACGATCTTGTTCTGGAGTTCAAGCCCCACATCAGGCTCTGTGCTGACAACTCAGAGCCTGGAGCCTGTTTCAGATTCTGTGTCTCCCTCTCGCTCTCTGCCCTTCCCTCATTCAAACTTTCTCTCTCAAACATAAACAAACATAAAAAAAAATGTTTAATGTGTGGCCAGGATGAGAACCACAGGGCTAGATGCTGGGTCAGATGACAGCAAGGTGTGGGAAGAGGAGACTTAACTACCGGTCCCTATACTTTAGCTTACAATAACCCAAAAGAGAGTGAGTTAAGTGTTTAAGAGAGGGCTCAGAGGAGAAAGGGATTTCTGCCAGGACTGCACTGTCCAATATGGTGCCATTTAAATCAATTTTAAAAATTCAGTTCCTCACATGTCAAGTGCTCAAAATCACACGTGGCTAGTGGCCACCATACTGGACAGTACGAATACAGAATGTTTCCATTTTCACAAAATGGTCAATTGGCCAGTGCTTGGTTAGAGGGATCGAATAGAGGACAATCACAGCTAGACAGCTGAGTGAGAAAGCTGTCCAGACAGACCTGGGCAAAAGCACAGCTGTGGTCAAGATGGACAATGTTCAAGAATCAGAAAGCAAAGTAAATCTGGCTAGAGTGTGATACCTGGGCATAAAAGCCTTGAACCAACAACTCCAAATAAAAGAAGAGGGTTCTACAATCAGGCTACCTGAGTTCAAAGCCCAGCTCGGTCTCTACATGGATGACCTGGGTGAGTTATTTCTAGGACTAGGTCTCTTCATCTGTACAATGGGGATAGCATTCCCTACCTCATAGGACTGTCGTGAGAATTAAACGCAGTAACATGTATAAAGGCCTTATTATGATGCCCAACACACAGAAGTTGCACAATAAATGAAAGCTATCATTGTCATCATTACTCTCAAACATGTTCTAGTAAGCTGCGAAAGTATAATTACCCGTGTGGCTCCTCTGGTGGATTGCCAAAAAGTGATTGTACTTAAACACTTTGCCACAGTCCTTACAACAGGCCTCGGGGCCGCCGGGGCGCTTTCTCCTTCCACAGACCCTTCTGGCTGAACTCTGGTCATCTTCGTCCCCAACAAGTTTGTAATCTTTCAATTTGACAGACCTCCGAATCCTCCGCTTGCTGTATCGACTCTGGCTGTCCTGCCCGTCCTGGGTCTTGGGATCACAATTCTCATCTTTTTCAGCGGGCACTTCCTCCCCTCTACCTGGCTCACAATCGTCTGTGTCTTTTGCTGGACTCTGATCATTGTGTACACCGCTGTCCCCCTCTTTCACCACAAAGTTATGTCTATTTTGAACTGAATTGTTTACTCTCAGCTGTATTTCTTCCTCTGGAGCCAGTTGTGATTTCCCCTCCTGCAAACTGTTGACTTTTCTTGGCCTTCCCCGTTTCCGCTTTGGAGGATCGTTTTTCTTATTAGAAATAACAACCACAGGGGTACCAGCAGTGCTCAAAGTCGTTGGCTTTGGGGAGCTATGATTATTCTGGAAATCTGTGTAAGCCTTTACCAGGTCATAGACTTTTAAGAACTGAGCGGTAGCCAGGACCTGTTCTGTACTTTTCTCACTGGCCTGGAGACACCCCGTGTAGATAAATTCCAGGAGCATACCAAACGTGTCGGCAACCATGCCTTCCAGCATATAAATGGACTGACCAATCTCGCCCTCTTCAGCAAACATCATTGAGAAGTATTCACTACTGGCAGCAAGTAAGGCTTTGTGAGCCCGGAAATGCACATTCTCCACGATCAAAGTGATGTCACAGAGAAAGCCTTTCTTCCGCTGATCCTCGAAACTGGCCAGAACAGTGTCACTGTGAGTGTCTGAGTGTACGACAAGCTGCCCAGAAGGCTCTGATGATGTTTCTGCCATTTTCCTTAGAAGCCAAGCAGCACGAAGCCTGAAATAAGAAAATAATGATTAAAGACAGGGAAGCATCCTCTCACAAGCTTATTCCTAGCCCAAACAAACCTACTATTCACTTCACATTGTTAACTGAATTTTACCACTTGTCACTTTCAGAAGTCGATTTAAGAAGAACTGAGCTTGGGATTCTCATCCTTGTACTGTTACCTAGTTGGGCGAGTCTCCAAGATCCATGTTGCTTCTCAGGGTCTGTTTTCTCCTCTGTAAAATGAAGGAATGGAAATCAACCATCTCTAAAGTCCTTTCCCCAGCACCAACTTTCCATAGTTGCAACACAGAATCAGAATGGGAACTACAGTGTCTCGATTTCACGCATTAGTAAACATTTCGTCTGTGAAAGCATATAAAAGGGACCAAGAAAATTACGAAATGAATCTGGGGGTAGCTGCAATGAAATAATAACCTAAGGCGCATCGGGCCTCGCTTCGGAAGGATGGCACGATCGATCGCCCAGGCTGGCGGCAGACAGCGCGCGGAGCTGCGGGCAGAAGATTCCCCCGAGACCCGGGCCCGCTGAGCCGGGAGCAGGACGCGCGGGAGGCCCCCCACTGCCGGCCTGGGCGCCTCAGGCGGGACAGGGGAGCATACGGCTGGGCAGCACTCACCACGGCCCCGGGTCCCGCGCCCCGGGACAGCGGGCTCAGGTGGACCTACCTGTCGGGGAGCCCAGCGGGGTCCGGATCGCGGCCGGCCCACCCGGCTGCCGGGCTGGCGCACCCGAGCCAAGGCCGCCCAGGCCCCCCGCTCCGCAGAACCCGCCGCCGGGGTGCCTGCGTCGCCCGGGCTCCTGTCCCTGCGCCGCCGCAGCCACCGCCAACCCGGAAGCGCCGGCGCCGGGAGCCTGCGCGCGGACGCCGGACCACGTGGCCCGAGGAGGCGCCCGGGGCGGGGCGGGGCGGGGCGGGGCTGCGCCGCCCGGAGATCCCGGGCAGGTCCAGCGTTTGCGGTGACTTGGGGGCGGTGGATGGGGCGTGGCGTTGTCACTCGGCAATTATGGAAGTTTTATGTCATCTTAGAATCATCTCACCGACACCTTAATCAGTTTTGTCTCTTCCCAGATGCCTAAGCTCACGTTAAGGTCTCCAGTGCGCGAGGAGTGAATGAAATCGCCTTTACAATCAGTACCATTATCATTATCGTCATCATGTAATGCTAATAATTATTATTATGTGCCTCTTAATTATCTTTCACACCTGGCTTCTCCTTTTCCTTCCACTTACAGTGCCTAGTCCAAGGGGGTGAAGAAAGGCGCCCTATCTAGTCAGACAGATCTGAGTACTGAATAATCGTGGGCAGATTGCTTATCCTCTCAATCTTGTTTACCTTACCTGTAAAATGGAGGTATTAACATTAGTGTCAGCTAGGCTGGGTGCACAAGATTAGGTAGGTAATGGATTTGGTGTCTGGTTTAATTCGTATCTATTATGATTAAAATTGCCATTATCGTTACTCAGACCAGCCTGGCTCTTTTAAAATTTTACTAGTTTGTATCACACTAGCCCCTCTCTGAGGTGTTCCCTTTGTCCTGAATTGCCTCTAAACCCCAGGATTTATGAGGTTGCACGTAGGATGGGGTGCTCTGCCTGACTTCTACATCAGCAGAAAGAGAAGTCAGTCTGAGGACCAGCTGGCCCATTACTTCTCACTGTCAAAGAATTGCAGGAGAAACCCTGCTCTTGCCGAGGCCCTCAGGCCAACAGGCCAGGATAACTCAGGGCCCAGTTAAGCCCCACACTCCCAATGCCTGTTTTAGTCACTGCCCACTATAGCCAAGCTCTGTAAAAGGAGGTGGGTCTGGGGGATCTTTCAGCATCTGCCACTCATCGCAGAGACTTTGTTTAGGCTCCATATCGACTTTTCTTGAGATATTTGTTGTTCTTTTTTGTTATAGCCAGCTCTACCTTCAGTAGACCTTCACCTATTATTCATCCGACAAACATGTATTCAGTGCCTATTAAGTGCCAGGCTCTGTGTGTCAGGTGCTGGGGATACAGCAACGAGGCCCTTGCCCTCATGAGGCTTACATTCTACTAAGAGGAGAAAGGACAAAAATACAAGTAAACACATAATATAACTTTAGAAAGTGTTATGCTTTGTAAGGACTGATGATGAAAACTGGCAGGGAAAGTGAAGTTAGTAGGGTGACATTGAGCTGAGATCTAAATGATATTGAGCCATCTTTTATATGAAGATCTGGAATAAAAGCGTTCCAGGTAAGGGAAAAGCAAACATAAGGGCTCTGAGACTGGACATGAGCTTGCTACTTTTGAGGGACAGAAAGGCCTGGGGGCGCCTGGGTGGCTCAGTTGGTTAAACGACTGACTTCGGCTCAGGTCATAATCTCATGGTTCGTGGGTTCGAGCCCCACGTCAGGCTCTGTGCTGACAGCTCAGAACCTGGAGCCTGCTTCCAATTCTGTGTCTCCCTCTCTCTGTGGCTCTCCTCCCTCATGCTCTGTCTCTGTTAAGAATAATTTTTAAAAAGTTAAAAAAAAAAGAAAGGCCTGTGTGCCTGGAACATAGTCAATGAGGGGGAAGGATGGAAGGAGATGATGGGAAGCAAGGTTGTCAGATTTTGCCAATAAAAACATAGGACATCCAGCAAAACTTGAATTTCAGGTAAACAATGAATAATACAGCATGGGACATTCTTACACTAAAAAGAATTTATGTGATCATCTGAAATTCAAATTTAATTGAGCATCCTGTGTTTTATCTGACAATTTTCATTGGAAAGTATGTCTGATTCTGACAATATGGCAAGTTAAATTATGAAAGCCTTTTATGAAAGTTATGAAAAACAGTTCTACTACAGGATAGCCAGAAATGAAAACGGAAAATGCAATAACAAAGCTTAAAAGAAAGTTAGGAGCCAAAAATAGAGGGAATTGAAATGAGAGTAGTAAAATAGCTTTGGAGCCATAGAAATCTTGTTGTTTTAATTTGCATTTCCCTAATGACATTACATGGAGCATCTTTTCATGTGGGTATTTTCCATATGCATATATACTTTGATGAATTGTCTGTTCAGGGCTGTTGCTCATTTTTAGATTGGGTTATTCATTTTCTTTGTTGAGTTTTAAGAGTTCTTTTTGAATAACGGTCTTTAATCAGATACATATTTTTACAAGTATTTTCTCCCAGTCTGTGGTTTGTCTTCTCATTATCTTTTTCTTTCTTTTTTTTTCTAAAGTTTATTTATTTATTTTAAGAGAGAGAGAGAGAGAGAGAGAGAGAGCAGGGGAGGGGGAGAAAGAGAGAAAGAGTCCCAAGCAGGCTTCCCACTGTCAGGGCAAAGCCAAACGCAGGGCTCCATCTCATGAACCATGAGATCATGACCTAGGCCAAAATGAGGCATCAGATGCTGAACTGACTGAGCCACCCAGGTGCCCCTATCTTCTCATTATCTTGACAGAGTCTCTGCAGAACAGAAGTTTTTCATTTTAATAAGTCCAACTTATCAATCATTTCTTTCATGGATCATGCCTTTGGTGTTGTATCTAAAAAGTCACTGCTGTACTCAGGGTCATCTAGGTTTTCTCTCATGTTATCTTCTAGGGATTTTATAGTTTTGCATTTTACGTTTTGATCTGTGATCCTTTTTGAGGTGGTTTTGTGAAGTGTGTAAGAGATTAATTTTTTTCCATGTGGATGTCCAGTTGTTCCAGCACCATTTATTGAAAAGACTATCTTGTTAGAGTATTGTCTTTGCTCCTTTATTAAAGATCAGTTGACTGTATATAATTATGTGGGCTCTCTTCTCTGTTCTGCTGGCCTATTTGTATATTCTTTTGACAATACCACAGTGTCTTGATTACTATAGCCTTGTAATAAGTCTTGAATTTGGATGGTGTCAGTCTTCTGACTTTGTTGTTTTCCTTCAATATTATGCTGGCTCTTCTGGGTCTTTTGCCTCTCGATATAAACTTTAGAATCCATGTTAGTATCTATAAAATAACTTCCTGAAATTGTGATTGGGATTGCACTGAATATACAGATCAAGTTGGGAGGAACTGATGTCTTCACAACATTGAGTCTTAGTATCCATGAACATGGAATATCTCTCCATTTATTTAGTTCTTTGATTCCATTCAATAGAGTTTTGAAGATTTCCTTATATAGAAATTGTACATATTTTGCTGGATTTACTCATAAGCATTTTATTTGGATGCTAATATAAGTGGTATTGTGTTTTCAAATTCATAGTCCATTTGTTCATTGCTGGCATATGTGAAAGTGATTGACTTTTATATACTAACATTGTATACTGCCACCTTGCTATAATTACTTATTAATTCCAGATTTTTTGTTGTTACTGTTCTTTTGTATTTTCTATGCAGATGATCATGTCATCTGTGAACAAAGACAATTTTGTTTCTTCCTTCTCAATCAATATATCTTTCATTTCTTCTTGTATTACTGCATTAGTTAAGACTTTCAGTATGATGCTGAAAAAGAGTGGTAAGAGGGAACATCCTTACTTCATTTTTTATCTTAGTGGGGAAGCTTCTATTTTCTCACCATTAAGTATGGTATAAGTTGCAAGTTTTTATAAATGATCTTTATCAAGTTGATGCTGTCTTCCATTCCTAGTTCACTGAGAGTTTCTATTATGAATGAGTGTTGGATTTTGTTAAATGCTTTTCCTACATCTACTTATATGACCATTTTTTTTTTCTTTAACCTGTTAATGTGGTGGATAACACTAATTGATTTTTGAATGTTGAACCAGCCTTGCATACCTGGGATAAATTCCACTTGGTTGTGGTGTATAATTTTTTTTTAACTTATTGGATTCAATTTGCTAATATTTTGTTGAGGGTTTTTACATCCACGTTCATGTAATGTCTTTGTCTGGTTTTGGTATTAGGGTATTAGGGTAGTAGTACATAGAATGAATTAGGAAATAGCCTTCTGCCTCTATCTTCTGAAAGAGATTGTAGAGAAGTGATATAATTTCTTCCATAAAGGTTTAATAGAATTTACCAGTGAACCATCTGGGTCTGGTACTTTCTATTCTGATTCAATTTTTAAAATAGATATAGCCTATTAAGATTGTCTATTTTTTTATATACCATGAAATTATCATAAGGAGCAAGGACAAAATCAAAACAATTTAAGACAAACAGAAATTGAAAGCATTAATCCCCAATAAGCCCCTATTATAGGAAGGAAAATAACCCTACAAGGAAAGTCAGAGATGTCAGACAGAGTGCCGACAGACAGAAAAATAGCAAACATGAGGGAAATCTAAACACTGATTATGAAAGGAAAATAATTTGGATAATAAACTATATTTGAAATATTGAATAAAACAGCATTTAAGATGGCAAGCTGGTGAATAGTAGTAAATGTTTTAAGGACAGAGATATTACCTTCAGACTAAGCATGCATGTTAAGAATAGTGACAGTTACTAAGTGGATAGAAATAGAATGCATACCATTGAAAACTTTAGAGGAGTCATGGAATTAAAAAGTTCTAGTCAATCCAAAAGAAAGAGGGAACAGATAAAAAAGAATGGAGAAGATGCTGAAAAGTTAGGCAGAACTAGGTTATGCAAGGTGTTTTATGCTACATGGGCCAGAGTTCTCCAGGTAAACAAAACCAAGGGGATATATAGAGAGATTTACATTTATTTAAAGGAGATGGCTCAATGATTATGGAGGCTGGGAAGTCTAAAATCACAGTGTCCGCTGACAGGCTTGAGACCCTGAAGACTTGACAGTGCAAACGAAATCTGAAGGCAGACTGCTGGAGAATTCCCTCTTACTCATGCAGGCTGCCCTTTGTGTTCTATTT